ATCACTGCTCACCTCTTCTCAGATGATGAGCTCATGATGATCTTCTGACAGAGACTAGCATCCTGATGGGGTGAGAAACCAGCAAGTATTAACAAAGAAGATTATTGATGTATATATACATACTAACTGATGAGTTAAGTACACTAGGACAAATGGAACACATCTAGCATCCCTGTCTCTACAGTGATGCATTGCACAATTCAGCATACCCATGCAATCCACTTCCCTCACAAAAAACAATACTAGTAATGGGTAATGTGACCGCATGTGATTGTGTGTACACATCTGTGCAAATACTGCATACCTTAAGCTGAAGGTATGGCAACACAGAGCTAAAGTATGTTCGCGCTGAGAATGCATGCGGAAGTAGATAATGAGGAGGGCCGTACTCTTACCCCGTAGAAATGTAAGGGATTATGCATAACGTGCGTAAAAAAACTACGCAGTGGATTTGAACGAGGTAAGCGCTGAAAGAAAACGGAGTGTGAAGCGCTACATTTTGGTACCAAGCGTGGCCGCATACGGTGCTGGAATCGGAAGTTATTCTAGATATTCAAGGTGAATTCTCAGCGCAAACGTACTTTAGTGACTAAAATACTGACTTGAGCAGTTTTGAGATGAGAAGAGATCCATCAAAGATGACCAGATATGACTGGTTGTCTTTGTTCATCAGTGTCACCTAAACACACACACACACACAGAGGTAATAATAAAGACCATGAGCTGATCACTGACATTTTCAAGACATTTGAGAATCCTCTCCAGAGCCATTAGTTTTCCTGCCTCTCTCTCTCCTTCCCTCTCTCCTCCTTCCTTCTCTCCTCCTCCCTCTCCCTCTCTTCTTCCTTCCCTCCTCCCTCTCCCTCTCCTCCCTCTCCCTCTCCTCCATTCTCCAGGGCAGTGTAGCTATCAATTGCTGCAGAAGAAGAGGAGAGGAAAGACGGAGAGAGAGAATGAATGAACCACAGTGTCCCTGATAGAGAGGTGTCCTTTATCCAGAGGGTCCTTTTTCAGAGGTTTCACTATCTAGATAATGATGTCCAGTTACATACACATGCTCTCACCCATGTTGGCCAGGATATCCAGCCCACCGCTGATCCTCAGATTCTTCCCTGATCCAGTGAGGACTGTTGACGGGTGCCGTTAGAGAGATGAGGCACTCTCTCGCAAACTCACTCACCTGGGGGGGGAGAGGGAGGGAGGGAGGGGAGGGAAGAATAAAAATGAAGGACGAGCAAAGAGATAATATAATGTATAGCGGGGAATTTCCAAGGGAAACAACTTTCACAAATAAATAGTTGTTAAAGTTTGCTCAGCGAAAGTTCTCAGTGAAGTTTAAGGTGGTGACACTGAGGTTGTGTCACTGCTGTTGCGTACACCAGTGTAATCAACGAGTTAGTTTCTCTGAAACTTGCTTGTGCTACAAAACATGTTTCCTACCTCAGAGTATTCCCCTGCCATAATACTGTATGTGTACTATAGCCATGTGGTTTCCCTAATGACCAACATCATCAAAACAAGGAAACTCTAATTAATGTGATTAAAAGTAAGGTATTAAGGCGGTAAGAAAGGACAATTACGTTACGATAGTTCCGAGAGTTGTAAACAGACAGAGAAACCAAAAACAACATATCACAACTTCACTTCTGTAGCCTTGCAACAGACACAGTATGTATAATACATACACCAACATACAGAATGTACATTTATGGCTTATGTAGCTGTATCAGAAATTTGTGCAACAATAAGGAAAGCTTGCACCATTCACAACAGGTGACTATTATTCAAGACGACAACAATGCAATAACTGCAGTGTGTGGTTACGTAAGTGCATCATGTCTCTGCAAATTTTTTAATACCTCAAGTTTTTCGACATCCACAAACAGTTCAACTGAGGGTTTTTTCTCAGGTTTTGTGACCAGTGGAGTCTCTTGTTCCCCCTCCTCCCCCTCTCCCCCCTCCCCCCCTCCCCCTCCTCCTCCTCCATTCCCTCCCTCTCCACACTTCTCCAGTATACTCCTGTATATAGAGCACACATTGTGATGTACTGTGATATACATACTGTTGAAACACTTCACGGTCAATGATGGGTGATGAGTACATAAGTCTAATGTCAACTGTCTTAGCGTGTGGCTTGCCAAACCACACAATCCCTTTTGTCATTCAGATAAGTCAATGAACAGTTTGTCTAGTAGTGTCTAGGACTGCCTACTACTAGATATTGACACCATGTATCCATAGTTACCTGGCCTTGGCTAGCATGCGCTCCCATTCCCGAACTGCCTTGACAGCTCCTCCCAGTCTCTGTTCAGCTCGCACCGTACGTCTCTCTTTCAACCGACACAGGGACATGCTAACCTGGCACTGGCGTGGAGACCACAAGTGACGCCATTACCTCACAGCTATATACCACTACCATACCCTCTAATGCAGCAGGTATTCATGATGTAAGAAGATGGGTTTAAGTCGCTAGGACATGGGAGCAGAGTAAGATAAGAAGGTACCCTTGGGATGGAGAGGCAGCGTATACCCACAATGCCACCCCGGCTCCGGTCAGAGTTGAGAGAGGGATGGAGGGAGGGAGGGAGGGAGAGGAGAGAGAAGAGGAGGAGAGACAAGATGAAGAGGAACTGTACCTATTCCACCTTTGTCCCAGTCAGAGTTGAACTTGTCTCTGGTCATAATGAAGAACAGTACTGAGCTGGTCAGACTCAGAGTCTGCAGACATACACACATATCAGAGGATCAGTGTTGCCAGGCTCATTAACTAAGTTTTTTTTTTTTTTTTTTTTTTTTTTTTTTTTTTTTTTTGTGAGTTTTTAGTTTGTTTTTTCTCTGTTTTTGTTTTTTTTTTTTTTTTTAACATAGTTTTACAAAAAGGTTTTTGTTTTTTTACCTAGTTTTTTTTTTTTATTTTTTTTAGTTTTTTTTTTTTTTTTTGTTTTTTTGATTTTTTTATTATTTAGTTTTTTTTTTTTTTTTTGTTTTTGGAAAAGGGGACCTTATCAAATATTGGTATAATGCCCTAAGCCCTAGTATATATAATACACACATTATATAGTTTTTGGACCCAAAAATCCGTACTATTTGGATAAATCAGTAGACCTGGCAGCACTGGAAGATACAAAGTAACACACACAACCAAACAGTGGGTTTGACTTCAAAAGAGATCTTTCTTTGTTCTTGTGTGTGCGTGCACACCATGCTCCCACACCCCTAGTGAAGCTATTTTCAGGCAGCTAGGAATTCGAGTAGGAGAAAAACTAACGGCGTTTGCCCCTCAAAACAACACGTTGCACCATAACGGTACGTTTATATTTACAACACACTGTAAATAAACTCTCCCTTCTCAGCTACGGAACAAACACCTTTCCTGAACCAGTGTATATCTATCTCTCTCTCTCTCTCTCTCCTCACAGGATGATCAAGAAGGTCTGCTAGAGATGAGGTAATCTTTGGAATGAACTCGTGAGCTCTTATCTGCTGACTGAACTCTGAGACCACCTCAGATACCACTGGTTGCTAGGTGTACCGTCCTGTGAATCAACACAAACGACCAGTACGTAGAAAGGGTGTACAACCAAACGCGTGTCTCCCAATAGTGTGCCACCTGAGGCCGGCTGCTATACACAACAACACCGCTCAAATCTTGCTGGGTAAGCAGATAGAGGTTGCATAATAATATGTCACAACCAGTGAAAGACAGCACATGTCACCTGTCTTACAGCACATGTCACCTGTCTTACAGCACATGTCACCTGTCTTACAGCACATGTCACCTGTCTTACAGCACATGTCACCTGTCTTACAGCACATGTCACCTGTCTTACAGCACATGTCACCTGTCTTACAGCACATGTCACCTGTCTTACAGCACATGTCACACTGTAACAGTACAGTCCCCTGTCTTACAGCACTGTCCCTTCTTACGCACATGTCACCTGTCTTACAGCACATGTCACCTGTCTTACAGCACATGTCACCTGTCTTACAGCACATGTACATTGGAGTATGGAATAGTAAAGTACACTGTCTTTTACCAATCCCTCTTTCGCACCCATTCTCTGATCATGAGATAGGACAGGGGACGATTAGTGCATGTGAAAGTTTAGGCCACCTTATTACTTCCACTGCACTCTCCAGCTATAGTAAAGGTATTCAGGATGGTTGGTTGGCTTGTCCTCCCCCCACTTTCTTGCTAAAAGTACAAAAAGTTTAGGCCACCCTATTACGTATGTACCCAAGACAGCGGACTCCGAGGGGCTGGGCCGACTGGAGACTGTCCATGAGATATTCCATCTCGTCAAAGAACTGTTGGTTCTCTCCTGACTCCAGACACTCGTGTGCCTGTCTCACATTCCTCACCACGGTACACAGCTGAGACTATGGAGGAGAGAGAGAATGTGGGAGTATCTACGTTACAAAAACAGAACTCAATCGCATTCTTTCACTGTGCCCCTCTCGTTTTCTCTATCTTTAGTAACATTTCTAAATTTAGCCCTTACATAAGAAGACAGATGTACAGATTGAATGTCAACATGCACACCATCTGGGACTTCACCAGACACTAGTTGGAAATGAGGGAAAGTTACCAAACACAAGATCCTCTGTTCTGACTAGGTGATCGCCATTTAACACCTGATCCTCATTTAACACCACAAGTGTGTACCTCTTTCTCTGGCTGGGAGGAGGAGGAGGAACGAGATGAAGACGTCTTGGGCCACGTGGAACAACGAGAGAGGGAGGGGATGAAGGAGGATCCAGAGTAGGTCTGGATATAGAGGAGAGAGAGAGAGAGAGTAACTCAGTGACTGGTAACAATTAGAATTCCATTGGCCACTAATTCCAGCTGTACTGTAAGTTCTTCCATACAAAAATGTGTAAATGCACAGTACATAAGAAGATGTGGTAATAAATTCTTGTAAATCCAGAAGACTCTTTCAGATACAGATGCAGAAAACCTTACCGTCTAGTTGAACTCATCAAAACCTAAAAATTATCTTTGACTACAGAAACTGTGTGAAAAGAGCCTATCAACCAATTAATCACGGTGGATGCATATTTTCATCAGGCCTCGCACTCCTTTTAAGCCTAGTACACCTTGGTAGGACTGACTGAGTTTAAAACATCATATTCCCTTAATTAAAGCCTAGTTGTACATACCTTGGTAGGACTGAGGGTGGCCACTGCACTGGACAGGGTCTTTCTCACTGTAGGCTAGATGACAGAACAACACACACAGTCAGACAAGACTCTTCCATCATCGGCCAGGAGGCCAACTTACCACGGTGAGGTGTCTGTCGAACTCAGAGAAGGCTGGTTTGTCTGGAGTCTCTGAGAGAGACAGATCTCCCGGTCTCCCTTCTGCCTCCGCACCCTGAACAACACGTCCAGTCAATAGTTAATATTCACCGTGATTTGTTTGCCCAACTGTAAATATTTTTCGCCCTACGTTGGACTTTATCTTGCTCTCCCTTTGCTCCATATGTAGGTACTACGTGTGTATGTACTGAATGTTGTACTATACACTATGGCACCATTATCATAGCGAAAGAGGTATTGAGTGGGAATTTGAGTAACTGGCATATCTTGGCAAGCTTTTAATTCCCACGCAATGTTTGCCGTTGCCAAAGTACATGCCACTGTAATGGACACAATCACCCCATTGCCAAGGCAATCAAGAGCCACTCACAGTCTCCATCTTCTCATCCCCTCCCTCTGCCTCCAGTGGCATCGTGTCGTCTGCTGACACTGTCCCATTCCCGTTCCCCAGTCCACTGGAATCGGTCTGAGACCCTGCCTCTGCCGTGGAACCCGGACAAGTGTTTGGAGGTGGAGTAAACGACCTTATTTCGGGAGGGGCATCCCCCCCACACGAGGACACAGTAGTCTGCGATTCCTCTGTCTCTGTTTCCATGGCTTGATCCTCAGAACCAGCCAAACCAGTTTCAGAAACAGGTTTGTCAGGTCCTTCCTCTTGTCGCTGTGTGTGAACTATACTGGACACTGGCTCTTCAACCACCCCAAATATGGCACTCGGGTCATGTGACATCACCTGATCCTGTCCAAGAGTCACATGATCAGGTGCTGGGTTCACATGATCCTCAGAAGAGGGCACATTACTGGAGACTGGAGTCACGTGATCTTCAGCAGAAGTCACATGACTGGAGGCTGGGGTCACATGATCCTCGGCAATGTCAGATTCGACGATGGTGTGGGGAGGGGAGGAGGGAGGGTGTGTAATGAGTGACGTGGTGAGGGTTGGAGGAGGAGAACCCTTTGGGGGCGTGGCTTCTTTCTCTAGCGATGACATAATGGGTGTGTCTTGCTGTGATGAGGTAATTGGTGTGTCTTGTGAGGTGGTGAGGGGTGGAGGTTGTGAGGGTGTGGCAGTGGGTGTGGATTGAGACGACTGAGGGGCTGAATGGTGGGCATTAACTGGAGTTATATTCTCTGACTCTGCAATGACACAAAACTCCATAAATTGTAGACAGTTGCAGTTAACCCATATGTGCACACACGATGACATTTTAATATTTTTGGGGTTGTGTAACATTCTGATTTTATTGACCCAGCAAAGAGTAAGGTTTCGGCTCAAAAAGGAAGAGCTTGAAAGAAGGAACACAGGTAGATCAGAGAGACAAGTTAGGAAGAAAGGAGGGAACAGACCTACCAGTAGGCCCACTATCTCCAGGCCCAAGTCTCTCGATGTTACGATACGCGGAGCGAGTCAGTCTGGGGTAGTGCTCATAGTGAGACAGATCGGCTGCCTCTGGCTCCCTTTCATCTGTCTTTGTCTTCTTCACCTCCTCTCCCCCTCCCTCTCCCTCCACCTCATCTCTCTTCCTCTTCCCTCCTCCTCCTCCCTCGGTTGCTTTCTTTGGACTGCTCTTAGTGGTGGGTGTGGTCTTTCTGACAATCTTTGCTATCACCTTCCTTACAGGAGCACGTCTGAAGACAGAACGGAATGGAGACTGACTAACAGAACGGAATGGAGACTAACAGAACAGAATGGGGTCAAACTAACACTCTGCACTGATCAATACAAGGCACACTATTGCACATATGTATCCAGAGCCCTCACCTGAAATTGCTGTTGCTCTGCTGCCTTTTCTGCGTCCCCGCCTCACTTTTGACCTCTGTCTTCTCGCCAGTAACCTTGGCAACGGGGGGCAGGGGTTTCGGTTTAATCTGTATCTTCGCGGCTATCACACCCTCTCCCTCTTCACCCCCCTCCCCCTCCTCCTCGCTCTCACTGTCTGAAGAACCGAAATCAAAGATGCTAAGACTCTCTTTGAGTTTCTGACGTTCAGTTTTCGACAGTTTAGGCTTCTGAGCTTTGAAGAGAGAGCCGTACTTTTTCCTTGGAGAGACTCCGCTCAGCTCCGCCCGGGCGGGGCTAGGGGAGGCGGAGATTGCGGCGATTTTTGGTGCCGGGGAGTGCGATAAGTCGTACAAGACTTTCTGTGGGGTGGGGGTGTGGCTTGAAAGGGGTGTGGTCTTTTTTGACAACCCCCCTCCTGATGATTTGGGTGTCTTTGACTGGTGGGGAGTGGGGGCAAAGAAAGAGGTAGAGAGAGAGGGGGAGAGAGAGAGAGAGGGAGAGAGAGGGAAAAAATCAGTATTTCAAACCACTTGCCTCACTTCCCAATAAGACAGTGGGTGGAAGTTGATTACGTAACTCATTGCATGCGGATCGCTAATGAACAATGATGGCCGCCGTCACGATGAGGTAGGAAAATTGGTTGGAAGAGAGAAAAATGTTGGGAATAGAACTTGACCTTCAGTAAAACTAGTAGTGTATGCAGTGGGCTGTGTAGACATCAACATGCAAGTGTGCGAGGAATTAAAAAGGCATGCGACTAGTAAACCAACTGAAAGTCACTGCACCTGGGAATGTATGTACATACGTACCTTTGCAGAGGAAGTTCCTCCAACTGGCTTTGTCTTTGGAGTCACTTTTACCTGTGAGGTGTGTGTGGGGGGGGAGGGGGGGGTGGCATTTTGAACTTGCTACTTGCCTGACCACAAAACCTGAAACTTGCACACCAAAAGGGAAAGAAGCACCCTGCCCCCTCCCTGTTAAGGTCTCGTGAATTACATTGTGCGCCAATTATTCATCCATTAAACACATTCACGAAACTTTCGCAGTTTTTTTTCTTGAGAAATTTGTAACAGTTTTTTGCTGCAATGGTTTAGTTACAGTATACCATGCTGTGTATATATACCTTCTTTTCCTTGGAGCCGGGAGTTTTGGTACCAGCTGGACTTTGACCTGGCGTCTTCTTGCCACCTGTCGTCTTGGGGCTGGGGGGGTGTGGCTCGTTTTTCCTCTCGTGGGCGGGGTCTTGGGTGACCTTTTGACCCCGACCAGCTCATCGAAGAGAAGGCTCGAACTGTTGTCCCACGGAGTACGGATCTTCCTTACTCCACTCTTACTCCGAGTGGGGTAGTCCTTCCCCTCCATCTCTCACCTACACAAAAGAACAGCTGCTAACTGTATATACAGTGGAACCTCTCTCTTCAGACACCACTCAAGTGAGGACCCTGAGTCACCAAGTATAGCTCCCTTTTAAACAACCCCCAAAATAAGGACACCTCACAAAAATATGGATCCTTCATGTGTCCGGAATAGAGGGTCTCTACACACACACACACGTTGAGTGGTAAATTCTAAATAATGCCCACTTGCCCACGCCCAAAGCTTCCCAACTGTCGGACTAGCGAAGGAGAAACGCGGACGAGAGAGACGAAAGCCTCACCAACAGCCCAACTCGCTGGGAAATGGAGAGTTCTCCAGTAGCAAGTAACAACAGCGAACCCGAGGGCGCTTTATCCGCGATGAACTATCTGCACATGCGCACGCACGAGTTGACACACGGCGCATGCGCACACTTATAATGCACTCTGACCTATATACATGATGATGATCATGATGCGAATGAACTCGGGAAAAAGCACAGAATCTCGGTTGGTGTGTGCAATCAAACAATGTTTCTTGATCAGAGACCTGCATTGGAAGACATTGATGTGTGATTATAGTGATGTAGCTTACAAACCAAATATGGAGTCTTGGGAAAACCTTTACCACATCCGTCTACCAGGTCAACTAAGAAAATTCCCACAAAAAGGACACCCCTCTATAGAGGGTTTTGCTTCTGCCCCATACTAACACATCATGAAAAAACATGTTTATAGCATACTAGCTCAGAGGAAAAGAAAGAACCTCCCCCACCCAAGCACACAAAACACAGACAATAACATACCCAAGCGTACAAAAACACAGACAATAACATATAAACAGAAAGAAAGAGGCAGGACCCTGGGTGCCCAGCCTTGAGAACCGGGGCGGTAGGTTAAAGAGTCTTTTATGGGTCATGTTATTGTATACCACTGAAAAATGGACACCTCTGAATAAGGGATACTATCTAAGTCCCCAAGAGGTCTCTTGTTCAGATGCAACTGTATGGAGTTCAGAGCTCACTTCCAATGACCCATTGTTTGTACTCTGCGTCATCCTCGCCCAGAGAGGTCAGTCCGAGGGCAGACGACAACCTCGTCAGAGAATACCGGACCCGCCCTCGAAGACCACGCCCACTCTGGTCCGATGGGACACGCCCCTCCACCACCTCCCAGCCTTCAGCAGGGGGAACAGGATCCTGGGTTACCAGCGGAATAGACAGTGGACCATGAAATAATTAAAGTGTCGTTTGTTCACATGTCCTTGGCTATACAAATCGCACAATTGGAGAACTTTTTCTATTGCACAAAGCAAGTATGACAGCATCATTACTTTACTGTAGGTGCACATGTAGATTTCCTCTACTGAACCATACCATAATGCATGGATTAACCCACACTCCCCCTCCTTCGTTTGGCTAAAACATTTCAACTGGTGTTGTGCGTACTCTAACTGTCTAACTGTTCAACTGTACAGTGTACAATCCAGTGCTATAGTTTTCTGTTGAGATTAAGAGAAGTTCTCACTTGAGGTCTATTACTGCTCTGTTCAGACTGGTAGCCACTGTCCCTGCCTCCATTCTGACTCTCCTTCTTCCTCCTCCCCATCTTCCTCCCCTCCTCATCTCCTGGTCTAGCCCCATGAGGCATGGGAACGGGTCTCGGGAGGCCCGAGAACGATAACGAGGAAGATGAGAGGGTTCCACCACTCCAGGCTGAGTGGTTGCCTGTTCGGTGCTCCAGTGGTGTCTGCATTCAAATATATATCAGTTGGTGAATATACTAGTGGTAAAGATTTGTATTTCAGAGAAACTATCCAGAATGAATTATACCTGAGGATTTTGCTTGATGTCGTGATCGTGAGTATATCTGTGAGCACATGTCTCTTCCTCCAGCCAGGCGATGACTTCATTTAACGGAGTTCTCATTCTAACTCTGGGTCCGTCCACCAGGTAACACTGGACTATCCTGAACAGAACGCCCTCCCTGTCCATCAGTGACAGGTGGTTCTCTCTCCTCTCCAGCTCTCCCCTCACTATCACATTGTGCTTCCCCCTCACACCTTCACTTACTGCTGATGCTTCATTATTCTCCTCTTTCGTCTCCTGATTTTTGCTCTCCTCTCCTCCATCTTCTCCCCCTCCCTTCTCTCCTCCTACCTCCTCCTCCTCCTCCTCCTCCAATTCTCCTCCTGCAACCCACTCCTCTTTCTCCCGCACAACCTCTTCTTTCTTCTGCGCAGGTTGCGGTCGATTCCTCGTCTCCAACTGAATCAGCAACACGGCGTAGCTGTACAGATCAATAGCCACTGTCAGTGGAGAGAGAACGGTGACTTCGGGAGGCATGTAGTGAGGAGTGCCTGGCATTGGCGTACAAAAGTCATTGTCCAAGCTCTTGGCCAATCCGAGATCAGCGATCTTCACAACGTAGCTCCGAGACAGTAAGATATTATTGCTGGAGAGGTCTCTATGAACGATGGGTGGTCGATGACTGTGGAGGACGTTCAGTCCTCTAGCGATGCCCAGCGCTATGTCGATCTCTCTGTGGTAGGGCACCGAGCAATGCTGGCAGTCGAGAACGTCCGTAAGACTGCATTCTAGAAGCTCCGATATGAGGACCGGGACGTGACGGTCCCACGAGACACCGATAAACTGAACCATGTTTGGACTGGAGAGTTTCTTGGCCATCTCGCACTCTCTCTCGAACTGCTCCACGGACAACCGACTGGCCGACACTGACTGAGAGAAGAGGTGGCGGCGGATGTACTTGAGGGCGCATTGCTTCCCCCTGTAAGTTCCCTTGTACACCACGCCAAAGGAGCCCTCTCCGACTTTCTCTCGAGTCCAATGGAAGTTCTTGCTCTCGATAAAGTAGCTCTTGGCTCTAAGAGAAGCAGGGCACTCCATCTATAAGCTACGTTGGAGGCGGTTTACTTCGCTGACACTACAGGCAACCGAAATGCTGACCGAGCAATTATTGCGGGGGAACTTCGCGCTGGTGCTCACGCGGCCAGCCTTGTGAAGAAGATCCTTCCCTTCTTCCGCGCTCGACCGACGTGGAACTCCTGCCAAGCGTAATGACAAACTACCCTCCGGATCGAGACGGGGTAATTCTACCTCTGAAGATCTGCGTAGGCGTCACGTCATGTCTGTCCATCGTGGGAGGGTTCCTCATCGTCCTCACCTTCTGCTGGAGAGTCTGTTCCAAGAAGAGAGGGGACTCCCCGTACCATCCCGGAAACCAGGGAAGACACAGCTTCAAAGAGCGAATGCTGAGCCCAGGTCGAATAATTCTAGTGAATCTCAGCCTAGCAGATATCCTAGTGGGTGGTACTCATCTGTGGGGAGTGGTTGGTGGCTACGAGAGGTACTATGCCATGAGGAACCAAAACGCCCTCAACAACGGTCCAAACGGGAGCACGGACACCGCGTGTAGCATACAGGGCGCTCTGGCAGTGTATGGAACAATCTCCTCTTTTCTTTGGACTATAACTCTCAGTTTCTTTGTGGTGGGGACACTGGCTCTGCCGCACCCAAGACGCTATGGTAGCGTGTGTGCAGTTCTACTCTATGAACTGATATGCTGGGGGTTTCCAGCAGTGGTCGTTACAGTGGTGGCTGTGAGACGAGAGTTTGGACTCGATGTTGAAGCTGACATAGGTCATTATTGCAAAGAATAAGGGACACCTCCGAGGGGGTCATAGCCTTTATTCGGAGGTGCCCATTATTCAGAGGTATTACTATGGGCCAGAACCAATAGGGGGTGTCCTTTTTTTGGAGGGGCTAGAATTTCAATATCTATTGGACCGTATCGTAGGCTGCATAGACTTTGAACGTTAAAATTGCAGATGAGGCTCCACCTATACCTGAAGGTTTATGGATCCATGGTTTGTGAAGGTGAATATGACCTCACTCTTTTTTTTTTATTCACTGCAGCCTGGTGCTACATCTTGCCAAGGTCAAAAGAGCAAAACCTGTTCATTAGTCTGTTTGCCTACAACCTATGGAGCTACCTCACCATCCTTCTCCTCCTCGCCTTCTTCTTCGTCACTCTCTGCTATACCTGCAGTGGCAAGGTGGGACCTTAGTATAGTAGACCACAATAGCAGTCATGTGCTGATAGTAGTACTCTAGCTGAAAGTCACAACGCTAGTTCCTGTCCTATGTCATCTGAAGAAAAGCCTGGGTTTGAAGGTCACAATACGTTTTATTTTATTTCAGTCCTAGTGCTCTTTATAAAAGATTTTGCATATGCTGACCAAATTGCCCAATATTATACTGTGTACTTGACCTCGGATGGGCAAACTTTACGGTGCAAGGTCGTGTACTGAGCTCTAGTGAATAGTGTCCCTGTTAAGAGGGTGCCTGAATCCGAAAAATCAGCCTCTTTAACATTGCCGGTACGCAAGAGTGAAACTATTCATTGGCAGGGCTGGGACAGAGGTGGAGTGAGTGAGAGAGCCCCTCTGGTCAACCAGCAGCCACCTCAAGAGGTCTGTTGACGCACTGTTATATTATTATAGTGTACACCAACTAAAGATAACGGAGAACCTGCTGCATAATCCGTGCCATCGCTTAAGGGCTTATGTCATCCATGTGTCCGTTAAAAGACATTGAATAACTCATCCGCTACAATATGTAAATTTGATGCTGTTTTTCTAATGTAGTATATACGTCAATAATGGCTAAATTTACAAAGTATTACTACTACTGGTCCCTATTGCCTATATCTGCTCCAGTGGAACCTCAGTAATAGAAAGGGCACTCTGAAAAAAGGTTACATGTTTCGATCTGATGCTATACGCTGTGCTTGTATTTTTAACCAGTAGATGTCGGTTTCCATGGTCCCACTCTATCCCATATATAGAGGTTCCACAGTGTGTAGCAAATGTATGTCTCAACAACTTGGTAGCGAGGTAGAAAGAAAGGCAAACAAGTCAACTATATACACCCAGGACAGCTCTTTCTTTTTCTGTACATTTTCATCTCAGAGAAAGTCGGACTACTTCAAGTTGATATTTGCAGCGCTGATTTTAGTCATCCTGAGAATGTGGGATGCAATCTATGTCTCCCTCAGCTACCATCGTAACTACGACCAAGATGTGGAGGACTCGCAGTGGATCGTGCTCCTCATTTTCCTGGCAGTAAGAGTCCACCTTATTACGATGCAACCGAAACTACTGTATAGGTTTTGATTATCCAATTCTCAAGTACACTGCTCTATGCTCGTCAGCTTGAATACAGGTAGACCTCTGAATAGAGGACTCCTTCGTTATTCAGAGGTGTCCTCTATTCATAGGTAATTAAAAAAATACACTAATGTTTTATTATGGGGCAAAACCATGTGTCCCTTATATATAGAGAGGTGCTCTTTATTTGGAGAGCCCTTTTTGGTGGTATATACTGTAGTATCTACCAGATGCACTCCCACCCCTAGAAATAATAAAAACAGTAGTAAAACTTCTTATAGTCTCACTTAAAGTCACCTCTCTACTTAAGATACTTGTCTCAGTTGCACACTAATATTTATGAGGCCCTACTGTTAGAATTTTAACACCAGTACTAGATTTCTCACAGTATTATAATAACTTTTCCTGCAGTTTATTTTATTTTATGAGCAAGCAAACGATATTCAACAGTATGACTCTTTCGTGTGCTTTTCACTGCACCAGGGTATAGGGAACTCAGCCCAGGGGTTCGCCAATGCTATTCTGTTTCTCCTGTGTACCAAGACTTACAGACGATGGATCATTGACAGCTGTGTCTCCTGCTTCCGCTGCTGCTGTAGGCAACGAAACAACACTGAACTCCATGACAACTGAAATAGCTATACAGTAGCTGGGAGTGTGTTTGCTTGTGTGTCTTATTATTTGTCAGTCCCGCCCATGCCTCGGTGGGGGGCCGGGTGATCTTCATTTTTACACCCAAAAAAGCACAGGTATCTGGAGAGTGAGCTGAGCTAGAGCGCTTCAATGCGCGGGTCCACGCATGCGCACAAATCCTCTCTTACGCGCTAGCCGCGCGCGCGGACGATATAAACGGAGATCATACGATCGCGCGAGAGTAAATAAACCAGTAGTAGTAGTAGTAGTAGTACATAGAGGGCGGTAGGCCTGCGTTTAGAAGCTGATCGCCTCACTTGCGACACGCCACATAAAGCCGCAGAGACTTCAAAAGCTCCTCTGGACCACCAGTGCACAGCAGACGTAGTCGAGCGGGCGCTCCCTCCTCATCTTCTGTTACTGCACACCGGACGAGAGACTCCGCGAGCTCAGCCGTGCGCCAAAGAGACGGTAGCGAGAGAGAGTACGATAGGTTTTGACAGCGGGAGAAGGAATCTTCTTGCCAAGCTGCTGGAGCTCACCCTACACTCTACCTTCTCGGCCTCCTCGAAGACTTATTTCGTCCCTTCGTCTGGTTCTCCTTCCAAAGAGCGCCTTCACCTTCGCAGGAGAGCGCCCGTGAGTGTTTATGACGGCATGGCAGTTTATATGGGGCGGGTGGAGTAGCTAGCTAGCTCTCTAGACTGGCGGCAGCGAGCGGTGGGAGTGAGGAGGGTTGCATATCCTCTGCTGGGCCGCGTCCGTGTTTGTGTAAGCTCAGAGAGAGTTTTCGTGCTCCTGCAGCTCGCGGCACCCCCGGGAGGCCAGGGCCGACGTGCGCGGCTTACCTTTGTTTTAGTCGGATCTCTCTGTACGGGTGGGTGCGTTGATGAGGCGCAGAGAATGGGGTGATCTTCCTGTTGTTGTTGGGGGTGTGTTAGAGGAGTGGAGTGGGGTTGCCTCCATTGGTGAACAGCTGTACACAAACGCGACAGGAATGAGGAACCCTCTCTTATATGGACACCTCTTAATAAGGACACCTAAAAAGAGCTTCTAAGCAATTCAAGACCAGAAACAAGATGAATATTGAGACTTTCTTCTTCTTCTGAATTAGAGAAGGTTCAAGTGCCTCTATTGCCTGCCTTGTGTCTGAACTGCTACTGGCTAGAAACATGATCCCCAATAGGCCACAGTTGCAGTGTATAGAGGATGTAATTGGGGGTGTGTCAAGGGTATGCCTAGGAATTAGCACATGTTTCTACATATCTTACTTCAAAGACAACTGTTCCTGTCTGTGATGTCATGTTACCCACTCAACCGGTTTCTAAAGCCCGTTTTGTGCAGGACAACCCGTGGAACTTGGCAATTGTTTACGTCTGGTGCTATGCCCGCAATGTGCTGACAGCACCGTGTCCTAATGTATGGGGGGGCATACTGGAGGTGTGCTCTGGGAGTATATGGCCCTATTATAAACACCTGTATTGAATGACGCGTACTGTTCAGCCAAGTGCTCATGTGATGGTGTATGCAAACACAGAATACAGTGACCCTTTCACTGCCAGTATGTAGCGGTATATCTGGTCGGTGTCTGTTTACTTCTTAACTCAGCCAACCTATTTCACAACCTGTGAATATGTGGGTATATATATATTGCCACACTTACCTACATAGCAAGGTGTTCTGGACACTATGAAGTGTAGAGTAAAAGTTGTACGAAGCAAAATTTCAATATAAAGCACTGATATCGTGGAAAAGGAATCCATCCATTCCTACAAACTTTGGTACACAAAAAGAAACTCATAAGCTAGAGTGGTTGCTTTAGAGGCAATATATGTTTCTCTGCTGTAGTTGAAGCATTAGCTAGTAGTGTCTGGCATTTGTTCACACAACGTATGCAATATTTCATCATCAAACATCATCAAACCGCCCATGCAATATTTCATCATCAAACGCAGGGTCTCCCCTCTATACCTTCCATGGTCTAGACACTGCTGCAGCTGCAGTAGCACTGAACTCTCTCACAGTTGTGAATGTTGTTGGAGGACAAGTGTTTGTTAGTTTTCAAACCCGTGGTATGATTGTGAATCGATTTAACTACCACGCAAGGGACCTTATATACCGCAACACTAACCGGTGTTTCGTAATATTGCATCACTTCAGTTACCACCCGGGTGGTGTATACATACAAACACAATCAACTCAACTGTAATCAAATTTCTGTACTTTAATCACTTGTTTCTTCCTTTAATCGCTGTGACTATGATATACTGGGTCAATAGTGGAACTAAAATTTTCCCCTGAAATGGGACAGGTTGCATCGTTTTCGGGGCTGAGCAACTTTCAACAACTTCGCATAAGTTGACACCACTTTTCCTCTGTATGGTTGTGAATGTGGAGGTTGGATGAGAGTGAAAAGAGCCCGTTTTAAAACAAACAGTGGCTGTCTCCACTGAACTCTGTGTTCTAAACGCGATAAGCCCTAAAGCACTACAGCTAGGGCGTTTTTCTTTCAGCTTTCTGCATTCCCAACACGTAAGTTACCCCTGTGAATAAAACACCCTATAGTCTTTCTCAATCTGCACGTGGACTCGTGTTTTCACACACAGCACTCTCTAGTTTAGTGTGTGAGTTACTCAGAATGATTCTCTCTTGTGGCCACTGAATGTCAATCTTGCTCTCTCTCTCTCTCTCCACTATCAGCAGTTTATGTCTTACAACCACACACAGCCTGCCAAGTGCCAGCTCTGAGTGAGAGTTACTCAACAGCCAATTAGCTGGTCCTCTATTGTGGCCAGCTCCTGTCAGCACCTTTTCTCTCTCTCTCTCTCTATCCTCTGTTAGCAGTGTTACCACAGCTGTCAACCCTGTGTTTTTCGCTGATCCTCTCTTGTGGCCAACTAGTGTCAGCACTCACTGTCTCTCTGAACAGCTTGTAACAAACAGCCTGACTTCTTTCAACCTCCCTTGTTCTCAGTGGGAATTGCAACTGCAACGTACTATGGAGTGTAGCTACTCTTGTGGGCACCAACTCTTGTGGGCACCAACTCTGCTTGTCTGGTGTAATTCTCTTCCTCTCTCTACCCTCATCAGTGTTACTTACCTGCTGGAGTCAACACTATTTGTGGTCCAGGTGGTACCACACCAAACAGTCTGTTTACCACACCAAACAGTGGGTCCATATGTGTCCATATGTTACCTCACATACAGTACTTACTACATATATACATGCACAGTCAATGACATAATGTATGTATGTACACTTGTAAGTACTGTATGTGAGGTAACATATGGACACAGTACTTACTACTACATAATGTACACTTGTCTCTTTAGTTTATTACCATAACCAGTGTCCTAGGGCGAAACTTGGTAACAAATCTGTTCAGTGTTTGTTCTTTCAGCATCACTTTGTTCTTCCTCTCAGCAAGAGACCAGAGCTGTTTCTTTACTGTCTTGCACTACTACCTAACCCACACTCCTTGTCCCACTGTACATACATGTACTCTACACATGCAGCTAGGGTGTGTATACATGTTGTCATGTGCACAAACATGTAATTATCGTGTTTCGATGTAGATTCTGTTGTTTGTCAGACGCACTGTCTACAGTTTAGCGATTGCAATGATGTAGACCTCAGACACACCAACTGTGCTGGGCTGTGCAAGGTTTAGAGGCAGCATTAAAGAAAGCGATTGGCTAATAATAAACAGCTACTACTCCACTCTGCCCTGTCTGTCGTTGTGTGTGTGCTGGGTGCTGGGTGCTGGGTGCTGGGTGCTGGGTGCTGGGTGCTGGGTGCTTTACAAGTGTCAATTAGTGTGTGTGTATTGCAGTATGTGAGTTCTGCACTTGTAACTGGTGAAGGAGGCTGTATTGGAGCTACTGTGGCAAGGGGCAGTTGGTCTATCTATGGGGGCAGTTGGTCTATCTAGAGACATCTAGTATGTGAGTTCTACACTTGTAACTGGTGAAGGAGGCTGTATTGGAGCTACTGTGGCAAGTGATAGTTGGTCTATCTATGGGGGCAGTTGGTCTATCTATGGGAGCAGTTGGTCTATCTATGGGGGCAGTTGGTCTATCTATGGGGGCAGTTGGTCTATCTATGGGGGCAGTTGGTCTATCTAGAGACATCTAGTATGTGTGTTCCGTGGTGCTGTAGAGGGTGGCAAGCACTGTAGGTCCAATCGTTCTAAATATACGTAAAGCAATGAAATTTCGCACTCACATTCACTCACCAAAATGACTGTTTCAGCAGTTCTAGTAGAGTATGATCATTCTCTCCACATGTGATTGTGGTTCATCTGATGATACCTGTAGTAATGTACACTGGCTAATTGCTGCACAACCACACTATAATCTGGCGATGCCACTTCTGATGGTACTGCTTCTAGTGATGGTACCGGGAGCCTGGGTTTACTGTGCCCTGTCGTGACACGTGACACGTTGCAAGGATGAAATCCATTTTTGTCTTTGCGATGCTGTACTGCGAGACAGAGCAAAGTGGTATATATAGTTAACCCAGCCTTAGCCTCACTGCATGTAGTAGACAGTGTGTATTATCATAGCACAAGTACATGTAGTACTATTGTCTTCCTCCATTGTGACAGCTACAGATAATGTGTGAGCAAAACTGCACCCAAATGGGAATTAGATCAGCCAATTAACTATTGTCCGAACCCATTTGATCAGTCAGTAGTGTAGTTGGCTATTATTTGACCTGCTGAGTGGACATCGGGCAATGAGCAGATGTTGTGTCAAATGTTCATATCTCCTGAGATGGAAAGTGGTCAGGTCATGGTGTGACAGATCACAATAATATCTGGTGTCCTATGACGCCCACACCACAACTCTGTTCCATGGAAGTAATTATATATTATATATCTTTTAGTGTGTTCTATAAAGTAGTGGTCATTACAGGAGTGTGTTCTGTCTTATTCACTGTCTAAGGTTTTAATCCTCTCCCTCCCCCTCTCCTCCCCCAGGGGCACATCAGGTGATCTCATCTCAAGGGTAAAACAGTGAAAGAACAACTTTCATCATTCGAAAAACAAATTCCACTCGCAGTCATACATATCAACACACTCTCCTTATCGGAACCACCTGTAAACACTTTCACAACAACAGCCATCTCTCATCCCACATCATTACATCGCCATTACATCATCCAAACATGCTCTCCTCCTCGCCGTCCTCTGCATCCTCTCTGCCGCCACACCGCAGCGGGTCGTTGTCCAGTTGCCCCGGTAACCACGCAGTGTTCACGCCCACCTCGTCGTCGCCATCGGAGAAGCTCACCCTCACAGAGTTTGTGTCGCAATATCACAAGTCGCTACCCCTCCCGATCCGCGTGTGTCGCGGTTACTGTGGTCCGAGCGAGGAGACCTCGATCTCCGAGGGAGACCATTTCAATGTTCATTTCGTCAAACACACGACTGTTGTTCTCGTGGAGATGGACAACGGCTACCAGTACAACGTTCCGCTCAACTCTGCCGTCCCGTTTGGAATACTGTACGATCCTCAGAGAAACCTCTCCCAGGCCAGCAAGGGCTACACGTTCCAGAAGGTGTCCGACATTCTCGCGCTCCCCGAGCTGCCCCACGTCCTCCGTGCAAGGAAGGCACACTCCAGCTCTAACCCCGAGAACTCCATCTCTGCCAACGAGCTGCTCATCGTTCGCTCGGCAGCGAAGAAAAGAATCGGAAAGAATCAGTTGAAGGTTTTCAGCCTCACTGACAAAAGGGAGAAGACCCTCTCCGAGAGCTGTATCGGCCATTTCTCCACCAAACCTCGCGACGTGTGCCTCTATCTCCCAGACATCGTGAAACACGCTCCAGACATTTTCCCTGTTCGTGCCATTCTCTTTGCGGGGAAGGAAGGTGCGCAGACCGTTCCGTCGAAACTGGCTTCTTCGGCCGTGACCCTGATGCACCACTCCATCGAGACGTCGCTGGTCGTCACCAGCGCCATCGAGGAGGAAGGTACGGAGAAAATGTTGGACATACCGATCGACCTGAACATCCAGGTCCGCGTGGCTACAGTCACCGAGGTGGAGGCTCAGAAACTGGCTCGCAGTACCGCGTACCTCTACAACAACTTCAGCCCGGCCAAACTTCTGTCGTACGTCCGCTCGGCACGCACCCAGGGCATGGAGGACACCCAGAACCTTCTCTACCGCACCATTCGCCACGACAGACACCACCTGAGACGAGGGATCAAATATCACTCGCCCACAGTCCATGGCAATCCCCGATAGAGACGACCCCTCAGCCGTGTCCTCCTCACCCAGTTCCTATCCCACCGGCGATATTTACGATGACATCGTCCCTCTCGACGACCAGTCAGAGCCGCACTATATGACCCCGCGACCTGCCGGTACTGCAACCACACCCGAGGGACCGCCCCTTCCAGACAGGAACCAGACGCACAAGAGAACGCCCGGATACTCGTATGTCGACATTGACGACATGCGGAGGTGTACTCCAAATAGAGCCACCCGTGCAGTGGGTCCGTCTGCCGTGAGTGTCGGCACGTGTGACCGCGCCCCCGACGACAGCTCGTTTGGGAGTACTGGAAGTGGCGGGGCAGTGTGTGGAGCGTTTGATGAGCGAGTTACCGGGTGGAGCTGGTGGGCGGGGCAAGGGGTCAGAGTACAGCAGCCGTAGCAGCTACAGTGAGGGAGATCTTGAGGTACGGAGGCAGCAGGTGCAGGGAGAGGAGAGGGAGAGGGAGAGGGAGGAGAGAGAGAGTCTGGAGCAACTAGACACCTTTCTGAACGATCTGAAGGACATGACAGACGGTCTCGAGAGTGTCCTGCAGCCCAAGAAAGAGGAGAAGAGGAGGAGGAAGGAACAAGCTACTCCACACTCCAACACAGGGGACCTCAGAGAAAGACTAGGTATATACAGCCATTGCATGACTCGCCTTTTTTGCTTCTTACTTGTTTTGAGGGCGGTTTGGGAATTTATGCGTTGGCGTGCACTCTGAACACGCCCTCTCTCTCTCTCTCTCTCCACTTTGGATAAGTGAAAACTTGGGGATGTCACAAGTGTAATTTGTGTAATTTAGTCAGGGGCGTCCCCTAGTACCGTACTGTGATCTGTTTCTTGTTCAGTGGAGTGTCTTTTTCTGAGGTTATGAAATGGTATCCCTCTCCCTCCCTCCCTCTCCTTCATCATCTGCAGCCCGCCACTCCACAGACGACAGAGGAGCTGCGAGGAGAAGAGGCTGCAGCCGTCTCTGAGTATGGACGGTAGCCAGGAACTGAGCGATGAGACCAAACTGCAGAACAGAACCTACCTCAAGAGTCTGGACAGCCTGCAGGTATATATTTATATACTGGTGGTTGATCTGTACTTAGAGAGAGAGTGGGCAGGATTGAGAGAGAAATATTTTAAGGAAAGCAAAGGAAGAGAGAGAGAGAGAGAGTGGGCAGGATTGAGAGAGATTTTAAGGGAAGTAAGGGAAGAGAGAGAGGTCCAGAGAGTTGTTAGGTCCAGATGTGGTGTGTGTGTCTGAGAAATGAAGTAAGGTTTGTGCACACATCTGTTGTGAAGGAAAGACAGAGCTAGAATAAGCAGGAAGATGTTCTCCACCCAGCAAGGCAGGGCACAATCACCAGATCCGATCTTAATGATATTCACGCTGTAATTACATTCCCGCAGCACTTGTGTGGGGATACCAGATCATGAATATGGTGAGACCACACCCTCACACACTGGGGTGTTACTCCACCCCCCATAACTGACTTTCTGGGCAACTGAGCCCTTAGCCACCAGTCCTAGTACAGCTCCACGCCCAGGCTTTCTTAGCTGGTAGTATATACTTTGGGGAAATGGATGTTCATTCTTTGCCAAGTAGAAAGTTTCTTTGTTGCTGAGAGACTTTAGTGTGGTGTATAAGGTTGCTAGGCAACGACTGCTGGTAGTATTACGTAATGGGAAGTGTACTGCGACCCTGGTTGTCATGACTCGGTGCTGGACCTCTGGCCACCGACGCCTGAGTTTTCCTTCTCTCCCAGCGTGGGACATACACAGATTATTCAATTATGGCATGCAATCTGTTGAGCTGGGTTAGACCCACTGTATGATAGTACATATTAACATGTCAGGATGTAGCTTCATAACTTATGGGGTGAAACCTTCTTTTATTACCACTGAGGCCACTCAGACCACTCAGAAGATTAGGGCAGCAAATTGCATAATTGGTCGTAGTAGACTACTTATGACAGGCAGGTGACTACTGTTTCATTGGCTTCTAACTGGGCCTAAGTGGTGGTCTCTCTCTCTCTTTATGTGGTTATGTAACTTGTACTGCGGAGGCATGGGGGGAGAGAGAGAGAGAGAGAGAGAGAGAGAGGAGTCCTAATATTCAATCTCTTTGAACAGCCGCACTGTAGCTAGAGGTGGTGTGTTATTGCTGGAAGTCAAGGTAGAGAGGGATATTCATGAGAGGGATGAATATGTAACTGCCTTTGACTGTCCTATGAGGTGTATAGGTAGGAGGTGGGGTGGTGTGATAGTATGTGTGTGGTCGTATCACCCCATCCCAGGCATGGTACATACCACTCTAAAGGAATTAGGAATTATACCTATAGTACCTACCTCTCAGTCTTGGTGTGGTTGTTGTGGTTGGGTGGTTTGTACATTCCAGGAAGATGGGAGCTATGCCAAGCAAGTGGGCTGTTTACACAGACCTTGTATGGCTATGAGGGGGTGTGGCCTGTGTTTACCTTACCAGACCTGCTGTAGGTGCACGTTCTGCTAGACGAGAGGACTTTCAGAAGTTCAAAGTTCATTGTATTATAGCCGTTGCCGAGTGAATTTTGTATAGGCGGGGACATTTGTATAGTCGGCTCCGAGTCCAGAATCATTGTCTCCGCGAACCCCATTGTGGGGATTTTCCCCGTACGAAATACTGCACTATGTGGGTGTATTATGCTAAACCACTTCGACTAGTATATACATTCCGTTTCTCCTCCCCCTCTTGTTCCCTTCTTTCCTTTCTCTCTCCCTCCCTCCCTCCTTCCCTCCCTCCCTCTCGTCTCTCCTCAGATCCTCAAGATGCTGGCGACTATGGGACTCGGTCAGTATCAGGAGGTGTTTGGTTCTCAGCAGATTAACGGGGACCTTCTCCTCGAGTGTGACGACAAGATGCTACAGTATGTCTCTCTCACTTGTGCCACTTTATTTCCCTCTGCCAGGCAGCTCCTGAAATGAGGACATCTCTGTAATAAGGACACCTTTTCTTCAGTTCTCGCATTCAATTTAAAGGGAATGTGTCTGTACATAAGGGCTAAATTCCTTCTCCCTACTCCCTACTCTTCCTTCTCTTCTCCTTTCTTTCCAAAGGAACGATCTCCAGGTCAGCTCTAAGCTACATCGAATTCGTCTCCTGAGAATCATCAGTGGTAACTACTCTGTGTTGGACATTCTGTCCGGTCGAGATGGTTACGTCACCATGCACCCCTGCAAATGATTATCACCCTCGCATCTCATCCTCCCCCGGCAAAAGCAATGCACAATCTGTTCAGAACTGCACAGCACAAAGATAACTATGGCAACAACAGTCAAACAGTCATACAATGTGATGTTTGTTAATGAGACGTCTGTTTTATATCCGAATCACTTGATTCAGGCAATTGGTAACTCATGTGACTGCACTCTCTCTCTCTCTCTCTCTCTCTCTCTCTCTCTCTCTCTCTCTCTCTCTCTCTCTCTCTCTCTCGCTCCTCCCTGCTGTATAATCTATTATACCACTTGATCCTCATCATAATGAACATGTCATCATCAATGTCGTCAGTGACAGTGTACAATCATCTACAAAGCTCTGATTGTATCTCTCTCCGTGTATTATCATTATTGCAGTGCAAATGATGTTAATGATGGTGCTTTTATGTGGCACTGTTCATCTACATACAGTACGCGTCAAAAAAACGTCAACGGTTTTTGGGTAGAGTAGAGTAGATGAAGGGTAGTAGCAGTGCAAGGGTAGAAATGGGTAGTAGAGTAGAGTAGCGCAGGGTAGCGAAGAGTAGAGTAGTGCGCAGAGTAGCGAGGAGTAGAGCAGCGGAGCGTGGCGTAAAAAACACTGCGCCGGCGGGGCAGAGGAGGACCGTGGCGTAAACAGGCGGGGGCAGAGCAGCAGCGAAGCGCGTACAGTAGACTAACATGCAAGTGCGGCATATATATAGCTACTGAGCAGAGCTTCTACATACACGCCGTCGTAGTGACCACCGCCACTAGCGCTGAGCAGCGCGACATCCCAGCCCACAGGAGCAAACGCTGGAGCAGACGCTAGCTGCTAGTTGCTAGTATGTAGAGAGCGGCGTGTTTTGAGCGGCGAGCACGCGATCGCGCGAAAGGACAAAGGGGGGCGCGCGTCAACCACAAAAACGCGCGGAATTCAATAGGCTTCCTCAATTAGCGACGCCAGAATCGTCGTTTCTCGTGCATGGTTTATTCTGAATACATAAAGCAGAGGATAGTTGAAAAAGAGTTGAGTTGTGCAGAGATTGTAAAAGCTTTGGATAGGGAACAAATTCATGTTAGCAAGTCTGAAGGGAAAGGTAGAGTAGGGTAGGGTAGGGTAGGGTAGGGTAGGGTATGGTAGGGTATGTAGGGTAGGGTACAGTAGGGTAGTAGGGAAGAGCTGAGTAGGGTAGTTTAGGGTAGTTATTTAGGTAGGGTAGGGTAGAGGTGTTGACGTTTTTTTGACTCATACTGTAATGTAGTCGCACGTGCGCAAGTAATCTCGTACCTGTGCGCATGCGTGTGTGTATGCAGCGTCGTATATATAGGGGCGTGGTCTTCTTGCCCGTGTGGGAAGACTTCATCTCTCCCCTCGCTCGCCATCTCCAATAGTCTATGAACCAGACCAGCTAATCACTATAGGCAGCTGCTTATACGACGTCGTCGCCGTAAGGGTGGGCTGAGAAATACAAGCACCATGATGGTGGCTAGCTTGTCGTTGCTGCTCACTGAGCTCCTCCCAGACCTGGTGGAGGCTCTAGTGGACATCCTGAGAATTCTCGTCTCCCTGGTCGTCCTGCTCGCTCGGACTGTCCTCCAGTTCTGTGGAGGTGTAGTGAAATTATCGGCAGCTCTAGTTCTCAGAGCCCTTGAGCTACTAGACGTCACAGTGGCGAGCGTTCCTCCCTTCTTTGCCCTCGTCTCCTCCACTACAGCCACCGCGTGTTCCTGGATTGTAGGCTGTTTCTCCACTCTCGCCTCCGTCCTGGTGGCAGGGTACGGGATTGCGTGTGACTTGCTCCCTTACCTTGCTCTGGGTATCGAAGCAATCTACAGAGGAGCAGACCTACTCATCAGAGGAGGTCTAACCATCTTCTACTCGGCTCTAGATCTCGTCGTTTTCTGCTTGTCCTCCTTCTCTTCCCTTGCTAGAGCCGCTATTGGAGGGGAGAGGCAAGGAAGAATCTCGCCACCTGTCGTGAACTGGTGGAGTATTCACATTGCTGTGTTGGCATTTGCTACACTGGCCATCCTTAGCCTCTGTGTCAACCACAGGGAATTAGTTGTTGAAGGTTGGCGAGTGGTGAGAGACTTAGTCACTGGGTGCTGGCGACTGGCGAGAGAATGTTTTGAGGGAAGTCCACAGCTGCTGCAGTCTGGTGAGGGTGACCGGCACCTTGAACAAAGAGACAGAGGGGATGGAAGTCAAAATGGTGGTAGGGAGTCAGACCGAGCTGGAGGGCAAGGAAGTGGATGCCCTCAGCAGAGAAACAGTGTTCGCCATCGAGTAAACATCTCACCAACTTCAAACTTCAGTGATGGTGCAAGACACCCTTCTAGCCCGCTTCCAAGGGAACCCTCTCCCGATAGCCCACAACGAGAGGGCTTCCCCCCAGCCTCGGCACCTCCCCAGTCTGTCAGTCGGGAAGAAAGAGAGGAGAGCAGACGGTGTATTGTGTGTATGGAGCAGGAGAAAAGGGTACTGCTGAGGCCATGCCGCCACTACTGCGTCTGTGAAGACTGCATCATGAGATTGGGAGGGGTGTGCCCTGTGTGCAGGAATGTCATTCAGAGTGCAGAGGTCATCTATGTCTATTATGACTAACTGCTGTACTGCGTTTGAAAGTTATCAGTGTGCTCTTTCTATATACTTAAGAGGCACAAGAAGTCAACGAACGGCGTGTATCGACTCCCGCATGCTATCTACTAGTATAGCTAGCCCATGTCAGACTCTCCGCGAGCTACTAGTGGGAGACCACGAGTACGAGTATGTAAATGTTTACTAGTCCATTGCGGTACCGCGCATGCGCAGGGCGTCGAGTGTTTCCACTTCTATATTATCACACTCGCTGTGCCGAGTGTTTGCTTTTCCTAAATTCCTAAGTAATGCTGGACGGTACGGATGGTGCGCGAACTGAGTATATACGAAACAAATCACTAAAATTGACTACTGAATTGACTGCATGTGAATGCATGACTAATTGAGTCATTCTCACTCTAACTATACACTAGCTACAGCTTGTGTTTAACTAATCCTACTGAAGTTCTGTCCCAAACAAATCACTGAACGTAGATCTCCATTTGGTCGATCAAGATGTTTTCCTTTTCGTTTCCCTCGTCAGTACACACCCTCATGTCGATGTCTTCGCAAAATGGATCAAATCTTCTTGTAAACCACGGAGAGCCTCGTTGCTTTTTGCAGCAGCCGTTTTGGAAGGCACAACCCTTGCCGTCCCAGAGTGTATCGCCTAGGAACAACTTTCCAACTATCTCTTTCGCTTGGTCCGCATCAAAATTGCCACTGTCACAGAAGTAGTCATGTTCAACAAATTCAGATCCTGCTTTTTGTGAGGCCTTTGCTCTTGAATTTCGCAGACATGGACACTGACCCTTCGTGGACTTTTTGGTGTTGTCAGTGACGCTAGAAGCGAAGGTCCAGATGTGTTCGCGGTTGGCGGGCCTAGGTCCATACGTTAAGCTGATTCCATCGACGTATGCATGATTAATGCTCATTCCTTCCTTTTCTTCTTTTCCACCGGGTCGGCGGTAAAAAGCGGTGGTGCTACCTTCCTGGTATCCTCTGATTCTGTTGGCCTCTAATTGGGTACATGCATGTTTGATGCAGACTTGCAGCTGTAAACTATAGGTCATGGGGCTCACAGATTTTTGTGTTATAATTGACTGCTGTGATGTAATGCAGAACTTGTTTGTGACATGGCAGCATCTTTCCAGGATCTGGCTAGGTAGGTAGGTTATACGTACTCTAGATTTAGCATGTTTGTAGCTGGCTATAGGTAGGCATATATAATATTCTATCCAAGCATAGTAACAGTAAAAGTAAATGCCGTGTATATATATATAGCCAGGTCGGACCTGTATTGATAGCTACTTCAATGGCAAAGCACAGCACACCATTACCCGTTTTTGACAAGACAGAGAGATGTGCGTGCATTCACACTTTCTAAACTCATTCGATTATGGTGCTGCTTCATGCAGGATGCAGTGCAAGCAGCGCTGGCAGAAAATCACTGTCACCGTATCATTGCCCAGCGAAGCGAGCCCCCTTGCTACAATTATGCTGCACATGCGTCAGTACGGGGAGAAAAATTTGACTGCTCGCGCTCGCTATATATCCGTTCTAGTACTGGTAGCTTCTTCTTCATTTGGTTGGACATCGTCTATATATAAAGTTGGCGAAGGTGTATAGTTGCACGAACCTTTTGATCGGTAATCTAGTCTGTTTTTGTTCGTGTAACCTTGTTTCCACGGAACGCTCCGCAAAAATTTCGCGTCATGTCCCACAGTTCACTGCACGTGCGCATAGTGTGCATGAGAGAGGGAGAAATGAAATGAAAGGGTCACCATTAATAATAATTGGCAAATTGGATGAGGGCTCATACTAGCAAAGTGTTATGTGAGAGAGGGGGCTAATGTGGTTAGTAAAGTCTGGAGTCTGATTCAACAGTTGGGAAGGAAGCTTTTTTAACCTGCAGCAAGAGAAAGATTAACAGAGTATGTTTTCCTATATATTTTACTGTTTATTTTGAGGATCAGGGCGGAGGGGTAAAGGGTAAGAGTTGAGTCCACCCACTTTCCTAAACCAGAAATGCTAGCCATGTGTATATAGGCAGCCCTGTAATACAAGGCTCTAATTAATATTTACACTAGAAACCCATCAAATAAGGTGTGCTTCTATGGTGTATATATATAGCTCAACACACATGAAACCCTGCCCACGCCCACACATGAGGTCAAAGGTAGACACTAGGTTATATTTATTATTATCATTATGTGACCTTCTTTCTGCTATCCTCTTTAGTCGAGGCCACAACCATACAACAATTGTATTATGCAGTGGAACCTTCAAACAAGGGACACTATGGGGCCAACGATTTTGTCCCTTGTAGAGAGGTTGTCTCTATCTCGGAGATCAAAATAATAATACTCTAAAGATGAGCATGGTGTTGAAGCAAGTGTCTTTTGTAGAGAGGTCATCCCTATATCAGAGGGTCCCTTATCGGAGGTTCCACTGTATAGGTACATAGGTCAATGCAACACCACTTGACGGGGTTACAAACAGAACAGCTAACTAACTATGCTGCTTGTTTGTAAAGTTGTATAATATTATGCTGTACAGAATGTAACTACAGGCTTACCACTGCTCCACTCCACACATATCTGTTTGAATGGATTTTGGCTGATGACTTTGCACTTGACACAGGTGCTATTAGCTGTACGGATGATACAATTTATGATATAACATTATGAGCAGATTACGACAAAAGGATATTAATAGCTGAAGCACTATGGAATGTTTAATCTCTCAATAATATTTTTTGGTGAACATTCCTATACTAATGCCAGTAGTCCATGCATGTTAACATGTGTAACTTAATAACTTCCTGGGTAATTATACTGAACTTCAATTAAAGGTCGACACCTACAGGTGGGTGTAGGTATGCAACTCACGGTTATTAATCTGCAGTAATTTTGCTTCCACCTCTTCCAATGTTTTTTCTTGGTTTTCTGCTTCTTCTGCAGCCTGGAGCCTGGCTTCATCTGGATTGACGGGGGAAAAAACATATATCAGTGGTTCACACAATGTTTGGTATTAAGTAGCTACACTTGAAGACTTCCAATTGATTGATACCCATGTGAAAATACAGCTATCAACGGAATTTAGGTGTAGGGACTAACTAGCATTACTCGCCTGCTTATACAGTGGGTCCCACTTAATATCATACCGTTTAATAGAATATCCCATTTATAATCATACAAACCTGAAATCCAAAACCATTTCCTATGCTTTCCCATACGTTTTATAGAACACGGAGAATACGGATTGAGGAATTTTTGGTTTTTTGCCCGCATATTGTCATATTGAGCATGCGTAATTAGGCATTGTACAACTTTGGGCTGGAGTTTTGCAACTCTCCATTCTCCACCTGGCTTCATTAGCTTATGTAAACAGCTAGGCTAGCCTATCTTCATTAGCTTAGCTAAACAAACTGCGTTGTGCGCTATCTAGTTCACAATAATATACACAGTATACACACCCGGAGTATACACAGTTTACGCCCGCATTATAGAATATCCCGCATATTGTCATATTTTTTGGATGCACCCCGGGTATGATATTAACCGGGACCCACTGTATAGCCATTGGACACCATGGGTATATAGCTATCTTCTTAAATAAACAGAATTTTATGCATAAAGTATTAGCGCCTAGTACATTACATAAATTGGCAACTCATTGGGGTCCACATTACGGGCGCAATTGCCTACGTAATCCCGAATATAGGTAACGTTGTAAGTTGACCCTCGAGGTGCTTTGGGCCCAAAAGAGTTAAGTGTTTGGAGTCAGAGTACTGGTCTCATGTTGGATAAAGATTCATCTCCGCTGCCTATCATCGGTCTGTAGCTCTCCCATAATTATTGCCGTAGTGATCTTGCCCGAGAAGCAAGAGGTGGTGAGTTTGAATCCTACCAGCAGAGCTGACTTTCTACCCTTCTTCCCCTCTTTCTGACTATGCATTCTTCACCATTCTTTCGGTCTGTGTGAGATCGGGAGCGAGATTACATAATCTGAGGTAACCAAGTGAAGAAAGCTATCCGTGCCGGCGCTAACGCATTTACCCTGCATGCACACTGTCTGTTAGGTCCCAACCCAAGGAAAGGCGGTAACTGATGGTGTGTAGGTGTGAATACTCATGAATTTTCTCTCCTCCACACCCCAGCAGTCAAGGGGACTTACAGGAAGCAAGGAGTGACTAATGAGTCTGGCATGCTATTCCCTGGAGGAAACTTATTACCATCACGAAACTGCCAGTTTTCAACTTCCTTCTACCCCACCACATCCCTGCATGCCAACCAGTCTGCACCTGCCCTGATGAAAGCATTTCCTTAACAAGGAAAAGAGAGTGATTTTCAGTATGATTTTTCTATGATGTCCTGTATGGCTGATGTATAATTATACTCACAATCATCTCTAGTCAACATCACAGTATAATATAGCTATTCAGTGGAGATCAGATCACAAAAAGTAACCCTAGCTTCATGACACCACGGAAATCATCTTGACCACAAACGTGGGGAGATACAGGCTCAAATCCTCATTGAATGGTATACTATCATGTCGCCTCCAAAGACAAATGTTAGTTATATGGGGAACAAAAATGTTAGGATCTACACAGGGAATAGCACATAATGTGGACTTCCTCTGGCCACAAACGCCGGGCATGCAGATACACCCTAGCAACTGAAGAATGTTGAGGCAGTAGTAGGGCTAGCTACACGAAAATCAATGCACCACGTTATCTCATGTGTGGCCTTTTGTAGCACTAGTTACCCAGTGTGTTGTATATACTGCAACCACTGTGCACCTATATAGGATTGCACAACACCTACAGACCTCCTCTCTTTCTTTCCTTCTCTCATCAAACATGAGGAGGTGATGAATTTACAATAACAGCATGCATGCAGAGACCGTGGGAGTGATGCATGCCTTGACAAAACTTACATTCTTTCATTCCGTCCGCATACGTCTGTAGCAGCATATCTGTGAAATGAGAAATGAACAAGAGCAAAAGAGTATATTATTCTATCACCTACAAAACACGGTTTTGCAACAACGGCTGTAACGTAATAATTATGAGCAACAGACGTGTATGTATGTAGACATGCTAGCTGTCTAAGCTCTAGCTACACTGCAGCAATGATTGACCTGCCATCTGGAGCATCACGGCGCAGTTCATTGTCTTGTCCGGATTGGTAGGAGACGTACAGCGAGGACCTTCGGCCGCTACTGTTGTACGAGAGGAGAGGAAATGAAAGACAGCTAATTTGCTAAAGTTAGTCTATATTATAATACTCCGGCAGCTAACCTTGTGCATAGGTCTGAAGAGGCGCCGCCGATGAGACTGCGAAACTCAGTCCGACCAACAACGCTGCTGAGATTAGGAGGCGAGACATCTTTCTTTCTACGATCCTCAGTAGTTCACACGGAAATGCGGTGCCGCTGAAACGCCGCTTTATGCGCCCGATCCCTCGCCGGCGCATGCGCATACGTATCGGCGAAGTCGCTTGTCCAACGTATGTATTATCAGAAAAACACCTCAATGAGGAAATGTCATATAAAAGAGAAAGAAGGGTAGGAAGTGAACTGTACATTGGTAAGCATAGTGAGGTTGTATGCAAAAAAATCTCTTAAGTGTCAGTAAAATTATAGCTAGGTGATTTTCAGCTTGATACTGTTCTGCAGTGAGAGAAGGGGGAGGGGGAGGAAGGGAGAGAAAGGGATGGGGGAGGGGAGAGGGAGGAAGGGAGAGAAAGGGACGGGGGAAGGGGAGAGGGAGGAAGGGAGAGAAAGGGATGGGGGAGGGGAGAGGGGGGAGGGAGTTACACCTGATGAACATATACATTTTCAGTTAATATTGTCTGATGCCACACAGTGTGAAGCCCTGAGGCAATTCCAGGACACAATTAATATGCAGCACCACAAGGCAGCCTTAGCAGAATAATATTTGTGTTAGATCTTGTTACAGATTGCATTACTGTGTGATTTTCCCCCAGTTTGTCTAATGCATCTTTCAAGAGCATTGTCATTTCCTTGTAACCACAAATTTCCTGGGAGTAGCTAGTTCTTTGTGGTTTCTTTGGACCAGTCATGCACATTACGTCAATTGATTGAATATCAATTGAATGTGATTTGCAGAGAGGCTACATGGTTGGCAATACTTCATACCAATGGACTGGTATTAGCGTGAGCATGGATCATAGAGTGTGACCGCAAGACAAGTGCACATCAACAACACCAGGACAACACTCTTTCCAAGCCATGCCCTGGGTGGGACTCGAACCCACGGCACTCTGCAGTCTCGGTATAGAGTGAGCGTGTCAGCAGAGCTGTAAATGGCCACACCTAGAGCAAGTTATGAGGCTGAGTGACAAATATAATCTGTAGGTTCTCTAAAATGACTGTGTCTCTAATGGCCCGAGGCACAGCAGGGGGGAGGATAACTCAGCAACTGTATCCCCTGGGGAGCAACTGTAAAGGCATCGCTGTGGAAAGCAAGAGGTGACGAAAGCAAATGGCAGAGAGACAAGGAGAGGTCGTTTACTTAATTCAAAGTCATGTTGGTTGGTGTGGCTCACAGCTTTTGTAGTAATAAGAAGAGAGCGGGCATGGCCAAACACCATACGCAAGATCTTCCAGAAAGACATCACAGGCCTAGCCCAATGGTGTGAAGAAGTGAGAAGTAGACTATTACTCAGCCGTATCATACACCCCCATACTCACCCACAGAAGAAATATTCTGTTGGAATAGTTTACTCACTGATGCAATGCAGCTATAATATAGCTCATTTCAGACATCGTAAAAGAAAACGATTTCTCCAAATTCCGGCCCAGTGCATTCTCAAGTGTGTGGAGGGTCTGAAAACACCTGGAACAATTCCCTGCTGTAATAGAACTGATATTCTCCCATATCAAGTTATTATTGATACAGGGAATTCTCTATTTATCCGCATTACAGCCGGTCAACGATCCGTCCGCGGTATACTAGGTATTTGAGGAGCGAGAGCTCAAAACAAGAGACAAGCCACATACACATTCCTGCATTTGTCAGGGTTCGTGATAGCTTTGAGCAAACCTAGGCCTTACAGAATATATAATTATATAGATTAGATGTCGAGTCCAGGAAACTACGTGCATTAGAGAGCCGCGGGGGCCCTGGGCTGTCGGCGTTTGAGCGCAGCGAGGACGCTACCAAGGGCCCCCAAGGCGCTCTAATGCGCGTAGTTTCCATGGACGAGGCGTCTAACTTGTTTAGAGCTATGGCAACGCGTGCGTGTAATTCAAATTCGGTGCATCTGAAACCGCGAACGAGCGCTGAGAAGTCGAGCGAGAGGCCCAGGGAGGGCGTCGACAACATGCTCGCCTCTACCAGTATAATTATACCTTCGCAGACCGCTGGGGCCAGAGGACTCTGCCCAACGTAAGTGAGCCATTGCACATGCGCCAAATTTAGAGTCCGGAAAGTTTATTTAGAGTCCGGAAAATTTGCTCTACGTGAATTAGAGTCCGCGCATGGACCAATCAGATTGCGAGATTTAAATTTCCCAGCTCTAAGCATAGTTTGTATGTGTGACTTCTATAGCTGGTTAGGTTAAATTCCCTGTTCCAGGTAAGTGCATTCTGCCTAATAATGTTCATTATCGCGTGTGCGTTCACCAGTACAGTAAAATATTTTTCATTCTTGGAACTGAAGGAGCGAAAATGATAAATATTTTACCCAACGACAAAAATCCGCTAAAGTATAGCACAAAAACAACCTTTTCTGGCAACTGTTATTAACAGATACCAGAAGAGGTTTGAGGCAGAAAACCTTGAGGCAGAAAAGATAATTTCACAATAATTGGAGAAGTTGCAAAGAAATTATCACATATAGTCTACTAAACAATGACACCACTGAAAACGTGTAAATCAAAATGTTGCTATTTAGAGCAATGGTCTTACCGTATCAGCAGTAGTTTCTACGAGGGTTAGTGCACACTCTCCTAAATGGAACTTGGGATATGGTTCTGCAGACTTTACACACATCTGCAAAACAGAGAGCAGTAAACCACTGTTAAATACTCTGTATAATAATTGTGCTGTCGGAACTGACTGCTATTATTTTCTGGTATTTGGTCAAATTTTGCTTGCTCCTGTTCCTGCTCGACTTTGTCTAGCATTTCTTCCTGTGCTTTAGCCTCTTCATCTGCTCAGAGAGACATGGAGAGAGAGAGAGAGAGAGAGAGAGAGAGAGAGAAGAGAGAGAGAGAGAGAGAGAGAGATAACTTGCTGTTATCAATACATTGAAAATGCTCCAGCTACACAAACATGGGTGTAATAGTATACGTGCCATAAATGCGGCAAAAATGTCGGCAACATCCTAACTGAATTACGTAGGTACCGACGACGGCTGTCATAACTGGCAGTTTTTCCCCACTGAAACACTATCCATAGCAAGCATACTGCGGCATGTGTGTATGTATGTATGTATGTATGTACTGTGTGTGTGTCTATGAATGTTGGTATGCCACCACGTGATCCACCTGTGTTTGCTCTCTCAACTACAGAACTGAAAAAGATAATTCTCCTGCTGTGGAGTAAGTATAAACAGCTGAGGCCCTGCACCACAACACTACCACAGTCCTCATGACTAGCAGAGGTCCATCTAGATATAATCAATACCCCAGCAGAGGAAAAGTGTGTTTACCCCGTGAAAGATAAATGTGTGGTACTTTTCTGGTCTTGACAATCTGGAAAGCGATCTACGAGGCACTTTTATGCTTGGTGAACAACTAGCAACAGCTCTTCTTTGTGTGGTCTTAGCAGTTTCTGATAAAAGACAGCAAAACAAACTCATTCATCCACTGGGCCTGGAAGTCACTCCACAGTTGGCAAACAGGGTATATACTGGTGGCATAGGTGACAGGATAAACATTCACATTCCTATTACTCTCACACGCGATAATTGCATATCTTCTGCTATGGATAGATTGGTGTACAAACTGCAGGCAACTGTTTTTCGAACTGCAGTGAAACTTCTGAACAAGAACCACCCCGTCAAGGAAAACCACTATAAATGGACACTGTGGCTCAGCTCCATACAAATACCTTGGTGTACTACCTCCGAATAAAGGACACCGTTGCCACCACGTGGTCCACCTGTGTTTGCTCTCTCGTCTCCATAACTGAAAATTAATAATTCTCCTGCTGTGGCGTACGTATAAACAACTAAGGCCCTGCACCACAACACTACCATGTGGTTCAATACCTTGGTGTACTACCTCCGAATAAAGGACATCGTTGAAGGACACTTTCAATGTCCCCAGGTGTGCTTTATAGAGAAGTTTCACCTTCAATATACACACTTGGTTTCACACCCTCCAAAACCAACATGTGGAGGTGGCCCCTCATCAGAAAGTATTCCCAGTTTCCTAACAGTTTCCCCTCTAAAAGTACACAGAAGATAAAACTGGATCCATCTGGAGCAGGCCAATACACACATCTACGTATATAGTAATGCTGTTTGCCAGGAAAAAGAATGTTTGTTCAAGTTGCCTAGTAGAGAAACTACATTCCACATTTGGAATGTTTGCTGCATAATATGCTATAACAACTCTACTGTCACAATTATTGGGAAACATTGCTGGATTAGCAAATGCGACAGTCACATGTACAGACGCACATGATTACGAAATAACTTAGAAACACGTGTGGCAGATTGCAATGGCAAAATCCCCCTTCAGACACAACCAAGTAGGCTTGCTATTGCATATTTTATGCTATACATGGAAGGTAGCCTCATAAACACTGGAATAAACACTGGAATAAACACTGGAATAATAGTGTGTGGGTAAGTTTCGTAAGCAGATTGCACACTTACTATCATTCCATGTACTACACTAATCTTAAAGAGTTTTAATTGGTATCAAGAATTCTGCTGTGGTTTCAAACGGTAGGATTTTCCATAGAATACGGCTTCTAGTTGACATTTGCTGCGAGAAGCGTGTTCCGGTTTCCGTGATTGAAATGCTGGTCTTCTCCCCCCACATAATAGGCAGGCTGAAAGAAGAACAACACTATAAAGGGACATGGCCACTAATAGCCTCTGGAGTAAGACCCTTACAAAAGGCGATGTGAAGCAAGTCCCCTGATCCTTTCAGGTACAGCCTCTGCTGGGAACAGGAAGACCCAATATCGCTATCATGGAGCTCTAACACTGTCAACTGTTATACATGTTTGCACATTTGACTTCACTCCAAATAAAGGACACCCCCGCTGTTTTGATACTACATTTCAGTGAAACCTCTGATGATAGGGACCCTCCAAAGTAAAGGACACTTCTCTATAAATGACATTGGTTGCTCCATACTAATAAAACAGTGTATTAGAGTACCTCGTAGAGGGACCCTCTGAAATGGGGATATCTCTGTATGATTCTCCCTCATACCACTAGATTAGGAGGTATCATACTAATGTAGTGGTATGTGGAATAGGAAACCTTCTTATCTCCCAAAGTGTATTCAGAGGTTCACTGAAGGTGAACGAGGAGTGCCCAACTGAAGCAACACGTGTCCAAAGACAAGGACTGTAGGTGTGACTGCAATGAAACCAGCAAGAGTCCAAACTAGCAGTTACAGCTTTCAACTTCTCAAGGATTCTTGACCATGAATGGACGGAAGCAAGAGCACATGATAACAAGGGAGATTGTAGCTCCAATGCACACCCATAGGAGGGGGGAATATTCTAAATATAGCTTCTTCCAGTTTTAATAATAGTAGTTGCGGGTGATCCGCCCGTCTCCGAAAGATCCAAAGACACACACTCTTCGTCAACCTGCTTCATCATGAACTCATCTAGGAAGCATCACTCTCAGGAAGTGAGGGGAACTAACCCTGAAACTGGAATGGGTATATACTGATGTTGTTGCTCAATCCTAGCTCCATGATGGTTCTATATATGGTATGTACCAGGAAATTGCAATCCAAGTAACGTGACAAATGATGTCAGTATGAAGCAATAGAGTGCTGCAGGTGCAGTGCCATAATATGCCATAATAGGTGACAGGTAAAGCCAAGGGAATGTAGCTGCCTGGAAGTTACTGGGGGACTGTTGGACTTCAATGGTGCAATACAATACACATCAATACAATACACATCAATACAATACATATCAATACAATACATATCAACTCCAAGTCCAGTTCATGCAGCCTATAAAAACACTAGTATCATGGAGGAAGGAGTTGTTTTGATACACCACACTGATAGGAATATCACTACTACTATTGTGGTGGAGAGGATAATGTTTGGAAACAGAGCACAAGAGTGTCAGGAAGTGAATATCAGTGAAGTGGTGTAAGAGTGTCCCATTACAGAAGACATTCTGCTTGCAGGACAACCCCAGTGCCAACTAGACATCAAAGCATTCCTCTCAACCCACATACCAATTTCTGGATACTAATTACAAGAGAGGTGCTTAATGAGACATCTTTTTGCTTAATCACAGCCACAAAACTAGCCTTCAGGCTCTCCCTCACATCTACAAAAGCTTGATTTGTTGTAGTGATGTTTAACTCTAACGGGAGTTGAGCTCTAAGGAGATTTAAAGGAGGGAATCTATTTGCTTATACTCAAACTCTGTATCAGTATACAGAGGATTGAGGCCTGCTACGATCAATTTGATGTCGAAAATTATCAGAGGGGTAGTATATATGTAGAAAGGTAAACCCAACAGTGTGGTTACTCAAGGTTTGGCCATTTGCCATCAACATTTGTAATTCTATCAGCCACAGTACAAGCAAATCAGAGAGTAATCATGACTTTCAAGATTAAGCAGGTGCTGAAATGGAATGAAGAAGCCTTACCTCTCAAGACTGGGAAAGTGATTATTATACCAATTACAGTCCTTTGAGATGCAGCATTGTGCTGCAAATTTACAGGTGAGCCTGCTTGAATAGTAACACTGATTTCATAGCAACCCTGAAACCACTCATGCATCTGAAGTATGCTGCAGAGCCTATGGGTACTCCTGCTATACACACCAGAGCATATGGCACTCCTGTAGGCAGTTAATATTGAAATGGATACGTACTGCAGCTCCTATATACAGCACACTTGCATAGGGTATATACTCTGCAGAGCCTGTGGTGCAGAGAAAAATGTGTGTAGGGAGTCTATGTGGGAGTCAAGTGCATGTGAGTAGTGGACACACAGTTGCAAGGTCTTCAAACAGGAAGCAATTGGTGTCACCAACCCACTACCAACTTCCTCCCTGAATATACCTCACATGGCCCTGCCTGGAGACATGTTATATACCAGGATATATAGGGAGTAGCAGAGGTGGAAGTGATGTCCAACCTAATTTGCACTCTGATTTCCACTTGGGGAAGTGAGTACATCTCAATCAGCCAATTAATCAATCAGTGTGATTGTGTCATTACACAACTCGGTGGAAAAGTGACTTACATGCTTTCATGTCATCAGAATATTCTTTTAGCAGCAGGTCTGAGTAAAACGGAGAGAAATGAAATATGACACATCAATGATTTACTTTTGGTCTTAGCTCGTAAACTAGAGGAACAAATTGGGCATGCAGTATAATGAGCTGGAAAGCTATCTACTAGGGGCTTGTTATTCCTAAATGCCCACAAATTCACAGAATTGGAACTTGTAAGTCAGTTATCTGATCTTGGTAACTATTATAGGAGCAAACCTACAGCACTAAGACGCGGGGTTGTTGCGCACATACCAGCCATCTGGATCAGGACAGCGCAGTCCATAGGTTCGTGGGGATACACGGGGAGACTTGCAACGAGGACCTTGCACCACTGCTTCTGCGCAAGAGAAAGAGGAGGAGAAAGGAGAGGTAGGAAGTCTAGATACGCCGACAACGCAATGTTCAGAGCCTGTCTCACCTCCCGTGGAGGAGGACCGCAGTGGAAATGCCGTCACCATGACACCCAGACCAGCCAGGCACAGTACAGAGATCAGGAGGCGAGACATCTTCAGTCGTCGAGTGAATTGGACCGAACAAAGTTAGTTGGTGCACCACCACCGCGTGCGCGTAATATAGGGCACAGGGCACGCGCGCCATCATTGCTCATGCGCAATGAAAATCCGCGGCCCCCCCCTAATCCCGCGCGTGCGCATGTGCGGGGGCTGTAGAATAACTTTCGCATCACCATAAAATTGCATAAAATTGATAAGAGAGTAACCTGACAATACTAGCTACAATAATAATGTGTCATAATGATACCTAACAATACTGTCTGGAGACACAGCTCCCTGTTGATCAGTATTTGCCTGCATCAACACGGGGAATGCGTAAACAACGGAATATTGTAAATGCATGTCTTACTATCCGAGGCGTTTCATCAACTCCGCATACTCTCTTATCGCTGCATGATAAAACATTTTCACCCTCAATGAAATGTATCACGGTGTCTTGACATAGCTAAAATACCTTGCTCATCTTTATCTTTATTGGACTGGACCTCCATTTGACCACAGGGGATCTCAGAGTAAGGATAGCTGCCCATGTAACACTTTGTCATGGAGGAGGAGGATGAAGACGCTCCTCCACCTGCAGAGGAGGTATAGGAACAAGAGGCAACGTAAAAACAGCCAGACCAACAGTATGGGTGCTACTAACAGTAGCAGTTTGATGAGCGTACCTCCAATTTGCTCAGCATGAGCCTGTGCTCGTTGCTGCATGTGGGCGTTCTCTGCAAAACGAATTAAGCCAAACGTAAATGTAACATAAATTACACACTGCCCTGGACCACTTGTGTTTGTACTATAAGATTTTCGGTTGTTTTGACTTGTGTCAATATTGCAAAGAAGGGGCTAACCATTACGAAGGATGGCATGTGTTGTACAAAGAGTAAATTAATTAAGCATTTGCTTTAGCGAAACATTATTGGTAAACTACATCATGTAGTGAATGCATGACTGTCTTACTGACCGAAATTTTTCATCAACTCGGCATACTCCCTCACCACTGCACGATGACAAGACATTATGAAATGTAAGTGCACTTAGTGTCTTACACACCTTGCTCATCTTTATCTTTATTGGACTGGACCTCCATTTGATCACAGGGGATCTCAGAGTAAGGATAGCTGCCCATGTAGCACTTTGTCGTGGAGGAGGAGGAGGAGGATGAAGACGCTCCTCCACCTGCAGAGGAGGTATAGGAACAAGAGGCAACATTAAAAAAAACAGCCAGACCAACAGTATAGGTACTACTAACAGTAGCTGATTGATAGGCAATTGGGCATACCTCCAATTTGCTCAGCATGAGCCTGTGCTCGTTGCTGCATGTGGGCGTTCTCTGCAAAACGAAACGTAAAATTTACATACAAACCCTCGGCGAACTGCGCATGCGCGATACCGCTAAACTATGCGCTAGTATTATAGCCCGCGGAGAGTCTGATGCAGGCTAGCCACAGTAATAGTAGATAGCATGCGGGAGTCCATTCGTTGTGACTTCTTGTGCCTTCAAGATGCACAGAGCGAGCCGACTCGGTCGATGTAGCTGTGATATTGGCTTTTGGCCGGTTTGTTGCAAAGAACAAACGGACGGACAGCGAGTACTGTAACCCTCGCTGCGCATGCGCGCCGAGGGTTAATTACACACTGCCCTGGACCACTCGTCTTTGTACTATAAGATTTTCAGTTGTTTTGGCTTGTGTCAGTAAAGAAGGGGCAAACTAGTATGAAGGGTGGCATGTAATGCTTGCAGAAATAATGATACAATTAAGCATTTGCTTTAGCGAAACATTATTGGTAAACTAGGTACATCATGAAGCGAATGCATGACTGTCTTACTCACCGAAATCTTTCATCAACTCGGCATACTCCCTCACAACTGCACGATGACAAGACATTATGAAATGTAAGTGCACTTAGTGTCTTACACACCTTGCTCATCTTTATCTTCATTGGACTGGACCTCCATTTGATCACAGGGGATCTCAGAGTAAGGATAGCTACCCATGTAACACTTTGTCGTGGAGGAGGAGGAGGAGGATGAAGACGCTCCTCCACCTGCAGAGGAGGTATAGGAACAAGAGGCAATGTAAAAACAGCCAGACCAACAGTATGGGTGCTACTAACAGTAGCAGTTTGATGAGCGTACCTCCAATTTGTTCAGCATGAGCCTGTGCTCGGTGTTGCATGTGGGCATCATCAAATTCTGCAGTTGAGTACAACAGGACTAAGTGTAATCACTCATACATCCAAGCTATTATTATAGCTAAGGCATTTAACTCTGTTGCAGTTCAGCAGCAAGTTTCTAAGTAACGCTGTATGACGATTGGTTAATAAGATCACCAGTGGAACACAAACAGCGTGCTCACATAACTCATTTTCCCTCACAGAAACAGCAAATGGCGATTACTGTATAATTATAGCTATATACCCGATGGTTTTCCGAGTTCCTGTGCGATAACACGAGCTCGCTCCTGGAGGCGAGCCTCGTTCAAAATTTCTGCAGAGACGAATTGTCTCATAATCAGGTAATTCAGGAAACAAGCTTTACTTACCAGCGAGCTCTAGAATGACGGCGCAGTCCACGATCTGGTACGGCGAAACTGGACTGCGACAAGGACTGTTATCTGGGAGACGAGAGCGAGAGAAGAGAGAGAGAACGAGGGAGGCAGAGAAAGATAGGCGAAGGGGGTGGAATAATGGAATAGATCACGATCATCTTTACCACGAGCGGGTGCAGCGGCGGCTCCGCAGAGGACTGCGCACACCGCGACGACTGAGACGAGGAGGACTCCGGCAGACATGTTGTATTGACGGTGATGTTTGGATGCGAGAGTTGCTGATCTGAAGAGCGAACGCGTTTAGAGTCAATGCGCTAGGTGCGAGGATTTTATACTCTAAAACAGTGTTCATTGATTGTCCCTTCATTGAGTTTGTGACATCCACTGCCCAACTACACACGTTTGCAACGCTAAATACGCGCGCATGCGCACACATCGGCTAGAGTGCACATGCGCGTTTCCAATTTGGACGTCCTCTATCAACAACCTCGTTTTCGTGCCAGCTGATCCACTTACGAAACAACTGCAACGTTCGGTTACCAATAATAATAATACAGTCACACTGTTAAAAAGCAGGTATATACTCTGATACAACAGGGAAGAATGGAGAGATGAATTAGGCTGGTTAACTGGAATGATGGGAAGAAGCTGAGGGGGTAACTTGTCCAATTAGAGCTTCCACCATATGCTGCTCCACCTGCAGTCAACAGACACACACTCACGTGCAATTTATAATCTTACTGCACAGAGGTGTGTGGATTAATTGGTGAGCAACACAAGACCACCTATAGTAGTTAGTAGAGATCTGTATCTAATGACACTTGACAATGCACATTGTCCAAAAATGAGTAGTTCAAAGGTTATATACTCTCCATGGCTTGCTTGTGTTAATCACCAGGAAAAAATAATTCTAGCTAGGAACTTCACTGGTAGAAGTATTTTGCTGCACATATCTCAACCCTGATTCTGTCCAATGTTTCGAAACCTATTCAGGTGTCACCTTCAGTGAATTCTATCAAACACTAATTCAATGGTAACGCAGCATTTGTCTGCAATGGATATATACAGTGAAACCTCTGCCTCTAAATAAAGAACACCTCCCCATACTTTAGTGTATAAATACTACCTCCAGATAAGGGACATTGCTGAAACACGCATGATGTCCCAAAGCTGTGCCTTATTCGGAGGTTCAAAGTACACATAGTGGGTGCAGGTTAAAGGTGTACAGTGGAACTAATAAGAGACCCTCTGAGATAGGTACGACCTCTCTACAGAGGACACTTGTTTCAACCCCATGCCTTGGTGTATTTGACCTCTGAGATAGGTACGACCTCTCTACAGAGGACACTTGTTTCAACCCCATGCCTTAGTGTATTTGACCTCTGAGATAGGTACGACCTCTCTACAGAGGACACTTGTTTCAACCCCATGCCTTAGTGTATTTGACCTCTGAGATAGGTACGACCTCTCTACAGAGGACACTTGTTTCAACCCCATGCCTTAGTGTATTTGACCTCTGAGATAGGGACGACCTCTCTAATTCATTGGCCCCATAGTGTCCCTTGTTAGAAGGTTCCACTGTAATTGCTCACAGCAGACTGTCACAGCAGGAGTGAGTGTGTGTAATCGTGAAGTATAGGTTCCCCTCGGTCTTGTAAATGAATACATAATGGGACTTAGAGTGTAAACAAGCAAGTGACCTACTACATTATGGCGTGTGTAATCATTTTATGCACGTGTACGTTCAGCCCACACGTGATTACAGAGCTATAATAATATTATACGGTGGCAAAAATCTCACAAATGTGAAGCCACACATGTACATAGTTATTATTTAGAACCTAACTGCATTGCTTTGACATTGATTCCACCCATATAGATCATTACGATCAGCTAACAAACACTGTTCATTAGTGTAAGTGGAAGACCGCCAAGCACTTCTACCCTAATCATTTTATGCACGTGTACGTTCAGCCCACACGTGCTATAATAATATTATACGGTGCCAAAAATCTCACAAATGTGAAGCCACACATGTACATAGTTATTATTTAGAACCTAACTGCATTGCTTTAACATTGATTCCACCTATATAGATCATTACGATCAACTAACAAACATTCTAACAGATTCAGTTCTAACAATGTAGTGGAAATTATCGGCTGCGTTTATCGTGGAATTCGTTTTGAATTATCATTCACAACTAGTCATTCAATCATTACAAACCTCAAAAAAGGAAGGTTTTTCGCTCTGTTGGTATAGTTTGACAGTGGCATGCATGCCGGGAGCAGAGTACCCCAAGACATAGTAGACTCTGAAGAGTTCTCCCTTCTCAAGGTAGTAGATACACTTCACCTGAATAGAGTCTCCCTTGATCTTATCCTGGGGGATGAGAGGGGGTGAAGGAGGGAGGGAGGGAGGTAGGGAATAAAGATGGAGTAAGAGAGTGAAGGGGGGATGAAGGAGGGAGGGAATAAAGGATGGAGTAAGAGAGTGAAGGGGGGATGAAGGAGGGAGGGAAGGAGGTAGGGAATAGACTAGGAGATGAAGAAGGAAGTGAGCAAGGGTGAGAAGAAAAGGAAGATCAGGTAGAGGTTGCATCTCACTCTAGGTGAGTCGATAATCTTCCATTCGTAGAACTTGGAGATATGAGGACCTCCCGAAGGGTCAGGTAGTTTCGGAGGACCGTAGAATGGAAGCTCCTGTCAGGAATGATTGGAATCTCATTCCTTCTCTCTCATACATCATTCATACTATACATACTATACATACTATACATACGTAGCAGGAAACGAAATCCACGGAGAAACCATTTTCAGGTCACTTGTCCTCGTGTAAAATAGAATATATAGTCCCCAGCACAAATATTAACAGAATGGACTCTGAACCTGAAGCCTCCTCCATTACGGCATGCTGCAACATATATGTATATACCACAGGAAAGAAGCATAGTTATTATGGCACGTACATACTCTGACAAGAAATGAAGAGGAGTCACCTAGAGACTGGTGCAAACTAGAATCTGCGTCAACAACACATTCCTATAGGACCTCATTTGATCCTATATATTGCCCCCAGTTTGGTAACTTATATAAGACTGGGGTATAGGGAGAGCAGATATACACTTTCTTATTACTTCTACAGCCAGTGACCCTTTTTCTTGCACGCGTAGACATGTAATAATATGTAATGCAACATGTTCTGTGCATGGAAAGAAGTGTGCTGTTTATACCTCGTAGTACTGCCCAGCGATGACAGTCTGTTGGTTGACTTCAAATATCCCGCGACTGAAGACATGGTATCGCTCGAGGGGCATCAGTTCCGGTCCGAGATGGTTCCTTGTTTCCACTACTCTCTCTGCTAGCTCATCTGCCAGCCTATAACAGAGAGAGAGAGAGAGAGAGAGAGAGAGAGGGGTAAGAGGAAGGGTGGGAAGAGACAGAAGAGCACAGAAAGGAGGGAGGGAGGGAGTGCCTGACCGGCAAACACAACATAGAACAAGTAGAAAAAATAAGTAATAGAGTCTGGGACAAAAGATAGCTCCCAATGCCAACACTAAAGAAAGCTAGGAGGAAGGGTGTGTGTCTTGTGTCTGTTTAATCAAATTATGTGTCTGTAAGACACCCTGTTTGATCCATCTCTCTTCAGACTCACCGCTGAAACTGTTCGTCGTCTCTGAATATACCAAATGCGGCCTTGCTGTAGCTCAAAGCGTGTTGCAGCTCTCGATCAAACAGTGCCTTGTCCGGCTCCGCTCTGCCTTTCCAGCCGCGGAGAGCCGCCAGCTTGGCCTTGCTGTCGTACAACAGCTTCTCGTACTTGTGTACGTCTGCCTCGGGGATTTGAGACGCCATCAGTTTCCCTCTCAGCCCAGCTTGAGAGCTCACACCTCGGCTCGGTCGGCTTGTAGTTTACGGTGTACGGGCTGCTGAATCAGCATTATTCCGAAAGAAGGGCGTGGCACGTTCATGGACCTTGTGATGAAAACTCGCGCCGCGTGAGCCGCTCTGACACAAGTGCTGAGCTGAGCGAACAGTAGGGAGGAGAACGGACAGATTCTCTTGTGAGTTATTAACCTGATTTGCCGGCACGTTTTGCATACTTGCGAGGATTTGTGTACCTCTACATTACGTGTACTTGTCCGCACGCACGCACGCTGCCTCTGACCGAGGGAGCTGAAAATGTGCTTGAATACAAGTTTGCATGTAATCCCATTTGACAGCGGTCCGTGTGCCCTGTTACTCAATTTGCTGCCAGCTACAGTGTAGGTGTGCCTCTAGTAGCCTGGAGTGTAGCTGTGTGTATCTGTTATTGAATTGATCGCTAATCAGTGTTACTAAATCCTATCTGAATACTGTCCTATATGAAAACACCATAATTTAATACTTACTTGCAATAGCATTATACCAACCTAATTATTTGTAACCTCACAACTCTTGTTGTTGGTACAGGTATGTACCTGTACCAACAACAAGAGTTGGTGAGTTTGAGGAAGAATTGTAGGATGTGGCTAGGGCTGTGCCAGAGATAGTACCAGTGTCCTGTTGGTTGTGGGACAGCCCTAGGTAGTGAACACTTACCAGCCATTATCCGCTCTTTGAGTTCCATTATAGAGCAGGCCTGGAGTGCCAAACACATGTTCAACCCTACAACAGCCTTGGCGATTTCGAGAAAATTTGATTTTTTGACAAGCATTCTACAAAAAGGGGTCACTCACAGGATAACATGCCCTCAATTGAATAGCACATCTTTTCCAGTGAAATAAACACAGATAACCACAGGTATTTTATGTTGCCATAATTGCCATCAATTCCCTGTTTGAACAGTTAATTGAACACCTGCGTTCAGGATACTAAACTTTACGCCGTAACTGAGCGCAGCTTGCACATTAACCGTTGTTTGAATACAGAACTCTGTGCATGAGTTGGAGGAATCCAATGGTTCAGGTCAGTTTTCTTGCCGTTTTGAAGCTACTCGTGCCTAGCAGCTCCCATGGTGATTGGCGGGCAAAGTGAGCCGACCTAGTCATCTCAATTGGGGATTTTTTCTAGTCTGTTAATTGTGGTCGGCACTGCATGTTTTTACGTGATTCTAATTATGAATATGAAAAATTGAACTACTTACGTTCGCTCGCCAAGCATGCATTGCATTCATTCTAGTGGATATACCACACATCTCTACAATGCTCTGAGTGTAAAGAAACACCATTGGCTAGTGAGTGTGCCCAGTTTTGCCTGTCATTCAAATGCTGCACTTTCTGTGGAGTCATTTCCCTGGTTACCAGTAGTTGGCATCAGGTATCCTTGATGTGGTCCTGAGAGGGATTGATGCATTCCAGGGGGGAGGATTGGGTTGGCATAGAAACACACTGGTATGCAGTAGTATCATAGTATAATACAGCAAATTGATCAGTAATACAGAGGTGATGGATAGTTCCAACTCTCAGGAATTGTGTATGCAAATGTACTAGGGCGTTGTGGGTCCACACAATCAGCTCACATAATTTCTCCTAAAATTTAGTTCCTATCTTCTTTTCATGTGAAATTGTACCCATAGACTTATTGTGTACATATGTAGTACGTATGGATCAAGTAACTAAAGAACTAATTTGAAGAGTGATATTGTCGTCCTAAGTAAATCTAAGCAGTTGCTGGCAGTTCACCTTGGTATTACTGGTATAGGGAAATAGAGAGGCTCTGCCATTTAGTGTTGAGAATTTGATTAAGTACACGTGAACAGTAGTCCTGAGTCAAGCTGTTGCTGCTGCTGCTCATGTCCTGAATGCTAGGAACTTCCACCAATACCCATAAACACTTCCACTCTGCACTCACAATTGGATAACCGTGATGTAACGAGGCTGTACATGTACTCTGCCAGGAATGGACGTGATCCAGGACCCTCTCTGGGCTGTTCCCATTTCAGAGTTCCATAACCTCTACTTACGCAGTGTAATCCTTAGGGCTAGCAGCAATTTTGGTGAGCTGCTTTATCATTCATGTAGTGCGCGTGCAGATAGCGTATGCACTGCAACATTTACAGGCACAATGTCATGCTTTGGCTTAATGAGCTCCACAACCTCCAGCTGTGTTGGTTGGTTGGTGGCCATCTTCTCTCTGATATAAGCTTGCAGAACAGGGCCTCTCCGTTGTTGGTACATTATCTTCGGTCCCCACGCACTTGTCGAGTCTTAATGGTCTTAATTAATACCAAAATTCTCTATAAATCACGGGTTTTTCAGCGGTGGTATTGAAATCTGTTGCAATTGTGCCAACGCACTATTGTTGAATGTTTCTGTAGAGTGAGAGAGAGAGGGAGGAAGATGGTGAAGCAGTATCGAGGTCAGAGCTACACAAAGCTCCACAACAATGCCACGAGAACTCGGCAGCTGTTCACGGACCCTCTCTTCCCTCCGACGGGGGAGTCCCTGGGCCACACCACCAATCAGGAGATTGTCTGGAAAACGGACCCTCTGTAAGATCATGAGAACCTCTGAAAGAGGGTCACACAATGGGAGCATCAAATTTTCCATTAGTATTATGTCGATACACTCCAAATTGAAGCAAACTGTTTGTTGAAAGGGTTCCTTTGAATAAACTTACAGAAGTCGAACCAAACAGGTGTCCCACATACAGAGGCACCCTTTATAAACAAAGGTCCTTTGTGAAGAAATTCCTTAAGTGTCCATAATTGGAGCATGTGTATTGTGTATAGCTGTGAGGTCTGCAGTTGTGCATACCCGCTGGTGGTTTTGTGAGATCTGACCTTCTCCATCTTTTTGTTTACTTCCCTTCCATCCATGCTATATGCTGTATCTATTATTGTCTTCCACTTCTCCTCTCTCTCTATTCTTCCTTCCCCTTCTCATTCTTTCTCGCCTCACCCCCTCTTATCCTTGTTCCTTCTTTCCTTCCCTCCTCCTGCATCCCATCCCCCACTCTCTCTCTCCCTCTCTCCTTCTCTCCCTCTCTCCCTTGCCCCACAGGAGATCTGTGATAATCCCCAGCTGGTGGTGAATGGAGTGAGTACAACTGACCTCAATCAGGGAGTTCTCGGTAACTGCTGGTTCGTGGCTGCCTGCTCATGTCTCGCTTCCGAACCCAAACTCTGGGAGAAAGTCATTCCTCACTGGAAGAAGCAGGTGTGCCGAGGGATAATGATGCTAGGTTAACAATATGTCGCATTGCCCCGTCGTGCCGTGCAGCAAAGATAGAATCCATTTCTCTCTTCGCTGCACAGCGCGATACGACACGGTGCTATGGGGCAATGCGACGTATTGTGAACCTAGCCTTAGTCTGGTAAAAGATAAACAGCTGCCCCTTCAACTCTGACTACGTATGTTGCCTTTCCAGTGACAGAATAAGCAAATAGTCATCATCTTGGCATACATAGCACAGAGACACACCAATGAATGAGGTATATACACAGAACCTGTAGTAGAGCCTGTTTGATGCATTATTAGACAGGAATGTGTGCTATCCAGAGCATGTATGTGCAGGACTTATAAAAAAACGCGAATTAAAAAAATTTTGAATAGACAATCAGCAGACTGAACTAAAAAAATGGAGTCATGTTTGAGGTTTGGCAGTGGCTGTCATACCACTATCTCTCTCTCTTCTCTCTCTCTCTCTCTCTCTCTCTCTCTCTCTCTCTCTTCTCTCTCTCTGTGTGTGTGTGTGTGTGTTGACACAGGAGTGGGATTCAGCCCACCCAGAGAGCTACGGAGGAATATTTCACTTCCACTTCTGGCGTCTCGGAGAATGGGTGGACGTTGTTATTGACGACTATCTCCCCACCAGGCTAGCACACTCTCCATGCTATAATTGTACCTACCACCAGCTTACTAGTAACTAACTCTGTGGCTGCATTATGGTGTAAAATTCTTGAGGTATCATTTCCTTATTGCGTGGTTTTGATAGTTTCGTGGAAACAATGTGATACCGAATGAGAGAATGTGTGGCGGGAAACTTGCATTCTAGGGCCCTATTGTTTAGTTCTATCTTTAGTAACATGTCTAAATTTTGCCCCTATGTATATACTGCCAAATTGAGATTTGTGTTGCATTCGTGGGGTGGGTTACGGCAACCACGACTGTACCTGCATACTTACAAATGCTCTACACAGTAATTAGTAATTATACATACCAACCCTCACATTAACGTACAATCAACTCATGTACACTTCAGGAGTGGAGAGCTGGTGTACATGAAATCCCGAGACAGGAATGAGTTCTGGAGTGCTCTGCTGGAGAAGGCCTATGCCAAGTGAGCCTCGTCCTCAGCCTTAATCAGCCACGGACACATTGTGTCCAGAGCCTCCATACGTCCATAAGGTGTTGTAATACTAGGTGCGAATACTTTTGGCATCCAAAGGGTTAACTTATGACATTGACTAAAAGGGTTAACTTATGACCTTGGCTAAAAGGGTTAACTTATGACATTGGCTAAAAGGCTGTATGTTAACCTTGAACGTCATTCGTACAGTACCTCCTGTAAGAAGTAGAGGATCATGGTAAAAGCATTAGTGCCTATTTGGTGCCCACTCTCCCAGGTTGGCAGGCTCCTACGAGGCTCTGGCAGGGAGGCCAGACAGGAGATGCTCTGGTGGACTTCACCGGAGGAGTGAATGAGGCAATCAACATCGGAGAGGGTGGCTATGAGAATGATGAGGACAAGAAGACTGAGCTCTTTGAGGTACATTAAAACCCTTTGGGCGCCATTTTATGCACAGAGCCTCCATAAGTGCATAAGAATTTATATATGGCTATAATACTAGGCGCTAATATGTTATACATCAATTTCTGCTTATTTAAGGAGACACCTATGGCGCCCAAAGGGTTATTATTAGCTCCTTCATTCAACACAATAACATGTTCTTTTCCATTACTTTTCCTGGTAGGTCAGAAATGTGTCATATAATTTTTGACTTATGCTTTATGTTACAATGCATACAGCATTATATTATGATATCATGATATAAAAACGATGGCTGGAACACTGCATATGTCGGATTTGGCACAGGCAGAATGTTAGACAGCAGATGGTGATGTGTCTTCAGACAAAATCTCATTAGTACCTCTAGGAAGCTCTTATCACATCCTTTCTGAGGGGTTAATGTTGTTGACCCTGACGATTTAGGCCACTTTACACAAAATAATATAGATATCTGGAGCCACCGCAATTGGTTTGCTAACTTATTTAGGCCTATCGTGCATGTGCCTGCAACAAAAGTCTTTACAAGATTAGTGTACTCCATATAGTGTGATGTTTGGCATTATAAAGAATAGTTACAAAATTATCAACATGTTTGCCCTTTTCATTAGCTAAGACTTCTAAGAACATGTCTGTGTCATTCTTCAGAAAATGGTGGAAGCTCAAAAGCACAAAGCAATGATCTCCTGTTCCATTGCAGTGAGTTCTTTTCTCTCTCAACTTCAACTAGGTGTATACTCAACAAAGGCTTCCCTTCCCCACACTCCATCTATCCTTTCCACTATTTTTCGTTGCCTTACCGTAATCTCTTCCCCTCTCTCCTTGCTTCCCTTTTTGTTGACATACTCTTCTTCATCTCTGGACTTCCTCTCTCCTCGCTTCCCTTTCTCTACTTTTCTTTCTTCTTTCTTTTTTCCTCTCTCCTCGCTTACTTTCTCTCCTTTATTCTTTCCCTCTTCTCCTCCTTCTCTTCAACTTCTTTCTTTTTCCCCTCCACAGCTCTCAGAAGGAGATGCTCCTGAGAAGCAACTGGACTGTGGTCTTATCAAAGGCCATGCTTACGCAATCACTGACATCAGGAAGGTCAGCATTCAGGCTTCTGGACCACTGAGCTTTAGCAAGTACAATAATATTCATTGTGTTGTACAATTCGGAGTAAGTTGAAAGCATCTAACATGTGTATACTCCAGTTTATACAGACCACAAGAGTTGTGCAAAACACTTCCATCTAACTCCATCCCTCTTCTCTCTTCTTCTTCCTCCTCTCTTCTCCCAATCTCCTGTGTGTGTGGTGTGTGTGTGTGTCTGCAGATGTCACTGAGCTCTGGACTGATGTCGATACTGGGGAGGAGGTCTGGGAATCTGATGATGCTCAAACTGAGGAACCCGTGGGGCAAGAAGGAATGGAATGGAGCCTGGAGTGACCAGTATGCCATCTCATGCACTGCGCACACTAGTAGAACAACACAATCTCTATATACACTATGCAACGTAATATACTCAATCAATGACGTTTTACTTTGTTGGATGGTGCACCCAATACATTTGAATTATTCTGCGTTGTGTGTACAGATCTGAAGAGTGGAAGAAGGTTCCCGCCAAAGAGAGGGAGAAGATGAACATCAAGATCGATGATGACGGGGACTTCTGGTTAGTCTGTTGTGTGAAAATCGTTAATGATGATGTAATTGCAGGATGGAGCTTCATGACTGGGTTCACTGGTTCACTGACGTCAGTCTCTGTAGACAGGTATACTCAATTGTACTGTAGAGTAGAAAACTCTCCAAAAAAATAGAAATTAACATTTTTTAACCATCAACAAAAGTTAATATTATTGTGGATGGAAACACATTGTGTTGTGAAATAGGCAATCTGCACAATTGTTTAACCACGGAATTCGATCTCCTTTGCAAGCAACCACATCGTGAAAGTTTTCTTTCTTTTCCCGCTAACTGTAGGAAAAGTTGATAGTCTCTCTATGTCTCAACAGGTGAACACCAGTCTCTTGAGTCTGCAGAAGAACTGGCATGAAGGGACATTCCACGGAGAGTGGAAAGGTCGAAGTGCAGGAGGTTCAGTCAACAACAGAGAAACCTTTCTTCACAACCCTCAGGTAATGGTACACACCACTGGCATCATATTACACGTAACTAAACTGGTGAGATTTCTCGTTTTAACTCAGTGGGCAAAATTACCTGTGAATGAATGAATGAATTTTCAGTGGGCATGAACTAGAGTAAGGGCAACATTAAGTCTGAATCCGAACAGGTCAAACTCCGGGGTTTTGTACGTAACCGCATGTAGTGGCACGTCGTTGTATGTATAAACGGTATACTAGTCCCTGTTGTGTCCCTCCGCAGTATGTGTTCAAAGTACCTCACGGAGAGGCAGAGGTGATGCTGAGTCTGATGCAGGAAGATCCTCGCTCTGCCCTCAGCTCTGTCGGTGGCAAGAACTTTGCCATCGGATTCTACATCATGAAAGTTAGTTTACCTCATACTTCTTGCTGTCAGCGCAAATCAATAATTGGGGAGTATTCTGTAAGCAAACCTGTCTAGTTTGACTTGTGATTTGTGCATGTTGTGCCATGCCACTTTTGATACGTAGCAATCTGGAAAATCATAAATGGGAAGAACCAAGGATCTACAAATTAACATTGCTCTTGGCAATTGGATTAAGCCATGTAAGTAAACTACCTCTTGTGCAGAGCGACACAAAGAGTGCCAGTAATCATACAGCACGCATGGCTAGCTCGCATAAAATGTTGAGCCTTCATCCATAAGCCTTGACTGGTCATCACAACATGGACCATTACCATTTCTGAACTATACTGTTGTGTTCAGGTGGAGGAGAACAGAGAGTACCGTCTCCATGTCATCCAGGAGAAGGTGGGGACCGTCACCTTCACCAACAGACGCTCCGTCTTTGGCCTCTTCTCCCTCAACCACGGCACCTACGTGGTGGTACCCTCCACCTTTGAACCCCACCAGGAGAGGTCCTTTCTACTGAGGATCTTCAGCGAGAGATCTCACCATGCCAAGTGAGGAGCTATGCATGCAACCCGGAGAGTTGGTTGACATGTGCACCCAGCCTATCGAAAATGTTTTTTAGGCCGAAGACAGAACACTAGGTGGATGTCTAAATGTAAGGCCTTCCTAGTATTCCACTGCAATCTCTCAACATCCGATTACTTTCTTTCGCAACTTATAGCTCCTCTGATTACCCTTCCCACCCCTGTAATTTTAACAGGTAGTCTGAAATTTTTCGCACGATCAAAAACCTGCAGTAGTTGTGATCAATGGTGTCCAGGTCACATGCAATAGGTTCACAATACGTCGCATTGTCCCCGCTATCTTCACAGCATGATGGTTAAAGCAACAGGGTAAAGCAAATTATCGTGAACCTAGCCTAAACTTCCTCTTTCTCCTACTTTACACACTACATTCTCTCTCACTCTCTCTACAAAGGGAGCTGAAGCTGGAAGCCCCAGAGCGAGGAGTGATGGGAGTGCTGTGCTGCTGTCTCTGGAGGAGACCACGAGCTCTGGTCACTGTCCACTTGGAGAATGCACACGACCTCAAGAAACAAGACATGACCGGAGCTGGTATGTTGGTCTGTTTACTGGCAGGGAGTTGTAGGTTTTGATGAATGCTGGCATAGTTACGTCAGGCTAACCTTTGGTGACCTGCGTTCGTATGCAGAGGGGCATTTTGATCATTTTTCTGTTTTCGCAGCTGATTGCTCAGTTCACACACATGGACACGTGAAATATTGCACACGTTTTGCTATTTACCACACCCTTGAACCTCCATTCGTATTAATTATTCATGATCCACCTCTGACTGTGTCTTAGCTGCTCCCTTTATCATACCAAGCATGAGTGTACATCGTTAGCAACAAAACCAGGCACAGCCTGGCAGAGCTATCACACAAATGCATGTTAGCTTATTGCATGGAGTTGCTCTGATTGACCAAGGCCTTGAACACTTTAAACTCCCGTCACTGTTGTGTTTCCACCTGGCTGCCCAGGGGCCGACCCATACTGTATTGTAAAGTGTGGTGGACAGAAGGCAGAGACACCAGTCATC